TGTGAAATCACAGCTCAAGAATGTGGCAAAAAAAGCTGCAGTTGACAAAGGCCATAAGTATATTCATCAAACACAGGCTGAAACATTTTTACAAGGAAGAGAAGCAGTGCTCCCAGGCATGCCATTTATATGTCACATTTCAGTCTAGAACAGAGATTTTTTGCTGAGTTGCACATCTTTCTAAAAAAGGTTTTATACAGGAAATGCTGACTGCTCTGTATCTGCGGCATCATGTGTGTGAGCCTTGAAACAGAGGAGTGAGAGACTCCCCCACTCAGAGATACCCTTGCAAACCTAGACTTTCCTCAGTTTAAAAGGACAACACTCTGGGATGTGATGCTTGGGGTGTGAAGTTCTCAAAGGGTGAAATGTTGCTCTGCAGAAACAACAGAACACTCCTTTGAGGGGGGAAAAAAGTTTCCACACTTGAGGAGGAAAGCAAACAGATTCAAAGGCAACTTCCTTACAGAATACACTTATTTACCTCGTAGAGGGAGATATGACTTAGCAGTTAAAACAATAGACTTTAGGTCACTGAGCTCAAAGGATTTACCCTCAGAGAAAGACAAACTGGAGCTGTTTTCCCACCATGAAAACATTCATATAGCAGCAAGAAACCACTTTCAGCAAACCACAGTTTGAGGTTGAGAACAGGGCAATATTTCATTGTACATACACTTTCTTCAGACAAAAAGCTCAGGTATGCCAGAGTCTTAATGTTCAGATGTACAATACCAAGAAGGCATTAATGACTCCAGCAATGACACAAAATGCCTTTGATCAGCCACACTGCTGTATAAAACACCATAGCATGCCATTGAATGGAAATCAGGCACAACAGAGGAGCTATTATATGGGATACAGTACTACAGTATTCATCTCTTCAAACAGAAAAACTTCAAAGAAAATCAAAATCAGAAAATGAAGAACAGTGAATTCCACCACTGGAGAAAAAAAAAAAAAAAAAGGAAGATAGAAATTGCCAGAGGCTACATGATATCATATCAATACTCTTCAAAACAACATTCTTTTGCTTGGAATTATAACACATTCTCCTTCTACCCAGAGCACATTGCATCAGGAGTGTGCCATCCTAAAAACCATAAACCAAAGCCCTGAAAATCCCAGGGCTTTGGGAAGCTAATGCCACTGCTGGCTGCTGGAATGGCATGACTAAACTCCTCTGGCTTGTTTTCCAAGGTGGTGTGGCTGCTGAAGCCTGATGCATGTGAGAGGTCCTTGTGGGATGGCTGTGGCTCTGGAGGATGAACCTCCAGGGATAAAAGCACAAGCTGTGGCAGCCTGAGCTGAGGATTTCCAGATCAGGCTGGAAAAGAATTATATCCACTGGGGAGAGAGACACTGATGGGAATTGTAGCAACACACCAACACTAAAAGTCACTTTCACATGAGGAACCCACCTTTGTTACAAGTGAAAGTCATCCTTGTACTAAGTCTGTGAAGGTAAACAGGGCAAAAAAAGAAAGAACTTCGTACACAACCCCAACTTCCAAGCTTGCCCAAATCTCTAGATGTCAAGCAGACACCAAGCAAGAACACAAAAACCTGGTTTCTAATATGTATATTTTGCTAATAGAGGCATTTTCTACTTTTTCAAACCTTCCTGAGACCAGCCCATGAGGTAGCCCTAATGTTGCAATTCTGCTTATTTTGTGAAATAAGCAAATTGAAGCCTTCAATAGCTAAATTTATACAGTGCCCCAGTTCTCCAGCGAACTCTAGGAATCCACATTCAGTCAAAGATTTCAAGTGTCTGACCAAAGTCTTTCCCTGTACTTCTTCACCCTAGAAATGAACACTAAGCATCTACTATTTGCTTTTATGACCTGAAAACTGATCTATTATTTGCTTTTATGACTCTGAAACTGTTCTTTGGGAGCTGAAAGGATTGAGCCAGTCATGCACAGCATACCAGAAGCAAGTTCATGTCTTGGCTTTCAACCAGAAAATCATTGTAGATGGCTCCCAGAAGAGAATTTTAAGTAACCAGAAGACAGCAAAGAGTAAGACACAGCTGCATCTTGCCAGGAGTGAATCACAAAAACTTATTTTGATGTGCATAGCAGCACAAAGTTTGGGTGTTTCTATAATATTTGTTCTCATGAGAGCAAACTCTCACTTTTTTTGAAGCCATCTGAAACCATTCTGAGTTTAGCAGGGTCTGCACAAGCCAGTGGAAAAGGGAAGAGAAACATCCATAAAATGCTACAATTAAACATATATTTTGCAATTGTTGATTTCATTTTAGATTTTGGATCCAAGCATGGGGCTGGCTTTCTTTGAACTGGAGACTCAAACACTTGTGGCAGCAAAGCAAAGCATTCAAAATGGACAGAAAATTCATCTTGCCTAACTTAATTTTTAATGCACTTATTTGAGCAACAAATCCAGTTCCCTTATGACCCTGGTGAGGGCCATGACTCTAATTTAAGACTCTGTACTCTGTTGACTCCAATGCCAGTGAATGTCTCAACACCTCCAAACCAGCAGGACTGAAGAGGGAGAGCAAAAATAAAATAGAGAGAGGACGACCAGGAAAGGCAGAGATAAAACAAAACAGATGGTGTGATAGACAGCTCATGTTTGTGTTTGTGCTTGTGTTCTCAGGATAAAATCAAAGGAAGATTCCAGAAAGGCACTGGAGAGGAGAATCGTTTCTGCACATCAACCAACACACACATTTACTCTGGCAATGGGAGTGAAGAGATTTTTACAGAATCATGGAATAACCTGAGTTGGAAGGGACTCACAAGGATCACTGAGTTCAGCTCCTGGCCCTGCACAGAACAGTCCCAAGAGCCCCACTATGTGTCTCAGAGCATGATCCAGACCCTTCCCCAGCATCACTTCCCTTCTCTGGACATGCTCTAGCTCCTCACCTTTGCAGGAAACACAGAAGAGATTTATTCATCATGGAGCACAAACTCATCCTTCATCTTGTACTCTCTTGGTCTGATCTAAACAGTAGAACTCTAAACCCTCAGCCAAACCTATTTATTTATTAATTTTTGATTCTCTGCTTCTGTGCAAATTGTGATTTGCCTCTATGCTTTTTCATATCTGCATCTGACACATGAAGGTGAAGACTGGAATGTTCTGATCTTATGGCAGTAATGGGCAGGTATTGGTGGACCAGTTATCACAGAATCACAGACTCATCAAGTCCAACCTGTGACCAATCCCCACCTTGTCACCCAGCCCAGAGCACTGAGTGCCACATCCAGACCTTCCTTGGACATCTCCGGAGGTGGGAACTCCAAACCTCCCTGGGCAGCCCCTTCCAATGCCTGACCACCTTTTCCATGCAAAAATTCTCCCTTATCTACTCTTCAGCTCAATGTAAGTTCCCCCCAAAAGTGAAGAAAATATTTTAAAACGTACAGGCTTGGGGTTTTTTTTAATATTTATCAGAAAATTGAAGATTAAATGAAATATATATTGAAGGTTAATGATAATTCTTAATGGAAGGTGAAGACTGGAATGTTCTGATCTTATGGCAGTAATGGGCAGGTATTGGTGGACCAGTTATCACAGAATCACAGAATCACAGACATCAAGTCCAACCTGTGACCAATCCCCACCTTGTCACCCAGCCCAGAGCACTGAGTGCCACATCCAGACCTTCCTTGGACATCTCCGGAGGTGGGAACTCCAAACCTCCCTGGGCAGCCCCTTCCAATGCCTGACCACCTTTTCCATGCAAAAAATGCTCCCTTATCTACTCTTCAGCTCAATGTAAGTTCCCCCCAAAAGTGAAGAAAATATTTTAAAAAGTACAGGCTTGGGTTTTTTTTAATATTTATCAGAAAATTGAAGATTAAATGAAATATATATTGAAGGTTAATGATAATTCTTAATGTAACCTTCAATTTTATACATATATGTGTGTGCGTGTGTGTATGTGTGTGTGTGTGTGTGTGTAGATGTATATATGTGGAAGGAGATGTTTGTGTTGGTATTTGGGCATGGAATTTCTGTCATGGTTAGGGCTTATCTTCATTTACATACAAATATATATATATGTGTGTTTATGTGTATATATATATATATATATATATATGAAATCTTTAATGACACAGGCCAGAGAAGCCCTAACCATGACTGAAGCTCCATGCCCAAATACCAACACAAATATTTCCTTCCACAAAAGCCGTAAACCAAAACCAGGTGGGAGAGGAATAGACATGGATCTATGTTATCCATATTCCACCTTTCCAGAAGTGGAGATGTGGTAGGCAGAGAGACTTAACTGGTTTCAAACAAATGAGGAGAGATATCAGGTTCTAGAATATTTCAGGTACATATCCAACAATATTAATTGGAAATTCAATAATTATACCTGGAAAGGAACTCAATCAAAGAAAGGTCAGCTCTTATGTAAAATGGTTATCACAAGCTTTTCTCCAGATTTTCTTTCAAATTCCCTAATACATTTACTGAAATCAGTTTTTTGTACAGTAGTGTTGTAAGATGAGCGGGGATATAAATGTAACTCAAGTTGAAATACAAGCCTAAGCTAAAATATCTAGGAGACATCCACACCAAATGGTTTGAGAAATTGCCATTGATAAGTAGGAATTTCAACAGAAAAATAAAACGGAAGTTGATGCAGAAATGTAAAATATGATCCTTGCACAAAACACAGAGAGAAATGGGTCAAGATATGAGCTCTCTGTGAGCTGTGGTTCTGGGTCTTACAAGTTCTCTTCTGAATTAATGTCCCTGTCATACAACAGCTTGAAAGTCAGCATAAGTGCTTGTTTTCGTGTGTAGGTGAAAATGGAAAAGAATAATCATTCTCTTCCAAAAACGACATTTTTGTACTGCAGTGTGTGTGACAAGGAACAAATGTGGAGTCCTGCACACACTGGAATGGCCACCAGGGCCAAGGAGCCCATATTGGAACACAAATATAAATCCCAATGGAGACAGAGTCCAGGACCTCCACAGAAAATAAACACCTTTCCTTCCCCACGTACTTGGCAAGATGATGACGTCTTCCCCAGGGCCTGGGATGCTGCCATTGGATCCACCCCAGCCTTTTCCCACACCATTCCACGTTTCTGGGAATGACCATTTCAACACAGCACAAGAAGGAACTACAAAACAGAGCACATAAAGACAGAATTATCATTTTCTGTAGCTGGAAGAATTACCATTTCTTTGATAGTCAAGCATCTGTGACATTAACATCCTCCTTTAGTCACTGCTAACTGATCTTTGTTATTTTCCATGTTTAAAGAAAACTGTTTGATTGAATTCCCAGGGCATGGGAATTTCCATACTTTCCCAAAGTATGAAAAATTTAAAATAATTAGTCAACTCTTACAAGCTTGCTAACATCCAGAAAAGCAATTTTCCCATTCCAAGGGGTGATCAAGACCTGCCTTGGAAAAACAGCTTGACCAAGACACATAGAAACTCCTGCTCCTTCTCCAAAATTTTCTTTTTCAGGTCAATCAAAAAAAAAAAAAATCAAGAGCCTTAGGAAAATATTGGAAGAAACTGAGTTCAAAAATGCAGCTGACTGACTTGCACTTGTATTTTAGAGAGCTAACTAGCCAGTCTCCATAAATGAATTGTCCCTAAGTTTGTTGTTCCTAAGAGAGGAAGGGAAGGCTTCAAGGGAAAATCCTACACACTAAATCCTAGACTAATGCAGGCAGGGCCTCCCTCTGGAGGCCTCTGCAAGCACCTACTTCTGTCCTTCCACTGTAAAGCAAATTCTGGCATTTTTTTCTTGAGGAAAGCTTCTTTGGCGATTGAAAATATGGAAGGAAGCACATGCCTAGGTTTTGGGGGCAAGATCCAGCTCAATAATGCTGTGGTATACAAAAAAACATCTGTTGTCAGCACAGGGAAAAACAGAAATTAAACCCATGTTGAGTTCCTTAAGTTTGGGTTTGTCTCTCCAATCACTTGTTTGTTCTGGGAGAAATAACCTGCCAAAATGTCTCTAAACCCTTTTCCCACAGAAGTGATTATTGTTAATCACAACATAGCAAGTCAGATAATATGATGCCTTAAGATTTAGCTTTCACATTTTTCAGATTCTGTTCTGCCTTAGTATGTGACTCTGAACTTCATATAAAGTGTTAGCAAGTTCTCTTCACAGTTTAGTTAAACAAAACAATCCTTTTCTAGCCTGAGAACCAAGGATACCAGTGCATCTTCAGGCCCAAATAGTGAAAACAACAGCAGATGGAGGAGAGCAGTCTGGGAGGATGGGACTTCATAACCCAAAGCTGTAATTGGACAGTTAACCACAATATGTAAATGGACCAAAACTTATAAAAGTGGGAAAACTCATGACCAGTTGTCCCTTTTGGGTCCATCTTGGGTCCATCTTGGATAGAGCCATGGCCGGGCTCCTGTGCTGCCCAAGGTGCATCCTTTGAAGACCTTTCAATAAATCCCTACTTTATTCCTTTAAGACTGTCTAGCCCCTGTTCCAGGTAGCCACTTTAGGAAACAATACCAAAAAATATCAAAATTCGGAGGTGTCTCTTGTCTCTGGTATATTTTTCTGTCTGATTCAACATGAAACTGAGCAGTAATATCACACTATGGAGCACTAAAATACTCTGTAGTCTTACACTCTCCATGACCTTTCTGATCTGCTGTGGTATTTCCCAGGGAAAGTTTATGGGGTTTTATACTGTGGAATCACACATTTATCTTGAGCAATGGTAGATAGGACTCAATGAAACACCTAAATTAATACAAAGAGCCTCTGTTGGCTTGATAGATGTACAAAATATTGAAGTGAAAAATAGCAATTTAGTCCTGAAAAGACCATAAAAAAGAAATGGTGTCACTCCCAGACCAATGTTTTCTGGCACAGACTATCACATACCTGGGGTAGGCAAAGCCACTCTTTCCTTCTCTTTCAGTGTGACCTGAATTAAGTCATCTCCTGTGACTAAACACAAAGAATTTTAGGGAGTTACAGCAAGGCCTTTCAAATTAACACCAAAAAAAATTAATAAATCAATTTCCACACACGAATTCCTGACAACATTATACATTTTTTACAAAAAACATTTTATTTAAGAGCAACTGTACATGTTTTCTAAGCATTTTTTGTCCTTTTTTTTTAATGCATTGAGAAAGGATTAAACAAACACATTTTAATCTACAGATACGGAAGGTCTCAAGACAACTCATTAGAAACAGCTAAAAAGAAAACATTCAACAATCAGAAATTCTAGGCTGGAACTCGAATCTCATTTATCCCACTATAAATCCACAGCAGTTCCACTCTCACAAGCGATATCACACCATTGAATGCATAATGTATTAACTGGCTCAAACAGCGAAATACAGCTTTTGTTTCTGAACTTCATATAAAGTGTTAGCAAGTTCTCTTCACAGTTTAGTTAAACAAAACAATCCTTTTCTAGCCTGAGAACCAAGGATACCAGTGCATCTTCAGGCCCAAATAGTGAAAACAACAGCAGATGGAGGAGAGCAGTCTGGGAGGATGGGACTTCATAACCCAAAGCTGTAATTGGACAGTTAACCACAATATGTAAATGGACCAAAACTTATAAAAGTGGGAAAACTCATGACCAGTTGTCCCAAGTTTGGTTTTGATTTTTTTTTTTTTTGCCCCCAAAATCTGGTATCTGAAAGAGATGCTTTAATTAGTCAGACTTTATAGACTGGAGACAGGGACCCTGTGTTTTCTGCTGTGAAAAGGGGTCAGCAGCAATTATCACAGTGGTAACCTTTGTGCCCGTGTATTGTCAGCAGGAGAAGGGCCAGAATAATGCAAATCAAAGAGGAGCAGGAGAAAGCTGCTTCAGACCCAGCTAAAATCCCACCTCCTCATCTCCAGTGGCATATAAAGGCACTTCCTTTCAGTCACCAGACTGGAACAACTGTAGGTTAAAATAGAAACACTCTGACAAACAAATAAATCTCCTGTCCTCTGCCCAGCCCCTTATGGTGACCCTAAAGTGTTGTTGGAAGATTTTTTTGGGGGGTAGAAGAATTGTATCAATGAAGCCATTGTCAGAACTTTCCTCAGTTCCAGAACATGCCTGGAACTTTCCTCTGTGTGCATCAACGCACCGTTGGGATTTCATGCCATATTGTAATTTACTTATTTTATCTTTAAACAAGTCTCTGTACTTTTAAATTGTGAAACCCGTCCTTCCCTACCTCCCTCCTTCTCTCCCAGTGCAACTGAGCAAATTTAAAATAACTGAGGTTCATTAATTTTAAGTGTTCAATAAATTAGTATGAATAATCAAAAAACTTGATTCTTTCTGATAATTACTATTTGATGTCAGTTGAAAGCACTCGATTGAGTTAGCAGCATATGCTCCTATGCCAAATGAGGCTTCCATAATTAAATAGAAACTGATTCCATGAGGTTTTTCTCATGTCTGATTAATTAGTAATCAGGTGCCTCAGCCCTGTTCTTCAGTGACACCTTCTCTCCCAACGGTAGCTGGGATCTGATCCATGTATCAGTCAAATCAATCTGCCCCAAACCATCACACAGAGCTCACACTGAAGAGCAGCACGCCTTGAGTGGCCACAAGGTGAATATTTGAGGGGAAAAAGATGACATGAAACTGCTGATTTAAAGCCTCTGATGCAGCTCTTGTGGCTTTCAGACAATACTGTGTGTACTTTTATGGTTATGTTTTTTGGTTTTATGGTGTTTTTCCTTCTCACACAGGGCAAAACAATTGCCGAAGCTTATAAAACAGGCCTAAGAAAAACAAGACAACCAAGCCCTGCCACTAGCCTTTTTCACCTCAATATATTTTGTGAGGTTTGCTTGGTTTTGGCATTTTTTTTGCTTACTTTTGCAGGCACTAGAGTGAAATCATCTAATTAAGGATGTTTGTATTTTTCAGAGAAAAGCTGTTCTAATTAAATCCTGAGGGGACATAAAACTTGATCAATATGGTGCATAGACCTCATAATGGGGTTCAATCCCCTTATATGGTGAAGAAAGGAATCATTAAGACTTAATTCAGTACAGTTTTATCATTGCCCTGTCCAGAGTCAGGGCAAAAATAAAAGTTTCTCATATTGGAAGTGTCATCCCACCAGAGAGCATGACAATTCAAACCATTATAAGATATTTATACCCTTGACATGAGCATAAGAATGAGAGACACAATTCTCCCCAGAACTCTCCTTGTAACTTGCACAATTATTTACATTGATGGGGTGTAAAGTGAGCTGGTTGTGAATCAGCAGTGTTTTGTTGCTTTTTCCCACGAATACTCCCAAAAACTGATCAAGGAAGATAAAAGCCTTGGGATTAATCAAGGCTACAGTGACACAGTCCTTCTGGTGGTTTTGTTTTGCTGCTGAGTACGTTATCACTGGGTTTTGCAGGACAGGAAGAGATACAGGCACTACAGATGAAGGACATCATTAGTAAACATTGAATTAAGGTGACTCTTGGCAAAATGTAGTTATAAGGCTCCAGGGTTTAGTTGTATAAAACCTTTATAAGGCTCATCAATTTTCTGCCTTATTACAGCTCCTCCTGGATGTTTGGGCTGTGGATCATAAATATAGGCCTTCTGGATGATACTGATGGTAACTTTTCCTGGTTCAAGGCTCCTTGAGTGAACATGAAGGAGGAGCAACTCGGTGTTTTATCAGCTTTGCAGTGACTCGGAATTTTGCCTGTGGATATTAGGAAGGGCTGAAACTAGGATAAATGGCTCCAATAGCCTGACTTACAAATAACAAGCAGCTCCATGCTATTTAACATCAATTGGGCTAACATCCATCACCAGGAAAATAAAACTTTTTAGACAGCACAATCAACAACACAGTGAGACACACCTCTAGAAACTAGAGAACCAGGAGAGGGTGTTTTGTCATTCCCTGTGAGGATCTTCTGCAGGAGATAGCCAGAAGTGTGATATAATGAGGACAATGTGTTAGGGAGAAGAGGTGTAAAAACCCATTTTATATACATATAAATAGCTAGATACAATTTAATTTTTATTTATGTATATATATATACACATACACACATATATATGTATATATATCTTTGGGTTGATGGACACAGATTGTTGCTTACAGCAGATTGGCATTTGTGTAAAATTCCTTGTGCAGACATCACATAATCAAAAAATCAACCCTGACAGGATTATAAGGGCATTTCATCATCTTATTTCTGTAATTGCTGGACTCTCTGGTTTCTCTGCTTCCATGCCAGAAGGACAGGAGCTCACCCATCAGGAGAAGGTTGTTTTGTCTCTTTGTGTCTATTACAAAAATTGAGCAACTGAGGGAATGGGGCGGGAGGGACTCAGCCTGGAGAAAAAGAGTCCATGGGAGGATCCTGCTGCTCTCTGCAACTACCTGGTGTGAGATCCTAGCCAGGTGGGAGTTGACCTCTTCTCCTAGGTAATTAGCTAGAGAACAAGAGGAGATGGCCTCAAACTGCACCAGGGGAGGTTCAGGTTGGGCATCAGGAAGAATTTCTTTTTTGAAAGGGTGGTTAAGCATTGCTACAGACTGCCCAGGACATTAGTAGAGTCACCACACCTGGAGCTGTTAAAAAGGTTACTCAGTGCTCTGGTCTGTGTGACAAGGTGGGGATGGGTCACAGGCTGGACCTGGTGGCCTTGAAGTTTTTTTCCAACATAAGTAATTTTATGATTCTATGATTACAAGGGGCACTTCTTTGCAAAGAACTGACTTGCATTTCATGGAGGTCACTGAGCAGCCCACATCTGGTCAACTGGCCCACCGAAACAACTGATATGGGTGAGTTTTATCTGGCTGGAAGAAAAGATTCATCCCTGTAAAATCAGTCTCTGTAAAGAATTAACTCCATTCTTCATGTCTTTCACCTAGGATTCTCCTTTACCCCCAAGCAATAGGGCTGCAGAAAATATCTGTGTTTATTTATTTTCTGTATTTTAATATTAGAAACAAACATTCTTTAGAGTGTTTTTCCTCCTATACAAAGTAATTACAGAAACCCACAGAGCCTAATGGAAGTGAGGTCATTCTTTAGGAATCTAGAAAAGACAATAAGTATAATCAAATTATTTTTTTAAGAACTATGGAAATTGTAAACCTGCTTCTGACACAGCAGTAATGTGAGGTTCAGCCTTAGGCCCTCTTAACAACTCACACATGAGCAGCCTGAGCAAAGTCAGCAGGATGACCCATCTGCATAAAAGTTGTGTCTACTGAAAAATGTATTTGGGATAAATAAAAAGTTTGATAATCCTTTCAGTGATGTTTTCAATAATGTTTCTGTCCAGCACTTCAAATTTTTTGGGGAAAAAAAAGCCAAGAGAAATCTGGAGGTGAAGGAAGCCAACACTTTGTTTCATTCCAAAAGAAAATGGTTTAAACATTTCAAAAGTGAACTAAAAGGAAACAACATCTCTCTGGTTTTTAGCCAGTTCCAGTATTGCCCAGAGACCTTAACCATGGAGCAGTACCGTGCTGTGGCACCATATGCTGAAATTTGTAACAGACTTAAAAAGCTCATCATGTTATTATTGCAATTTACAAAGGATATTTCTCCTAAAAAATATCCCAGATGTCCCAGTGGGATGTTTCTTTCCACCACCTTTGTTATAATAAGTGTTTTTTGGGGTTTTTTTTGCTTCAGCATGGTCATATCATGTTTCACTCCCCTGAAATGTGGTTGAGCCACAGTCCATGAGTGTTTCAGAGTCACACCACAATTGCAGGCCCACAGTGACCTTTGAGGATCACTTCTCCTAGCACATAGGGTGCCCCAGAGAAAATCAGGATGATGCTATGAATCATGTCAAAGCAAAGCTGGTGATGTAGAAATGACCGGCGCGGAATTCTTCAAGCTCCCTAAGCCTCCCCTTCACCCAGAACCCTCAAGGGACTTGGGGTTACCTGTCCTTTGATGCAGATGCTTTTAAAAATGCTTGAAGAGGTGATTTTTAACGTGGCTTGGAGGCTGGTTAACAGAGTTACATGTATGTAGGAAGCAGTGACTATCTTTGTTCACAGGATCATTGCCCATATTAAAGAAACATTCTCCATTACAATTATTTCCCCCCCATTCAGCACCCCCTGCATTCTCCTCCAAGCCTAACTTACAGGAATTAGGCTCCCAAGCCTAATTTACAAGACCCCAACCATCAGTGCAACTTAACTCCTTTAATCCCCTCCATACGGTCTATTTTCTTGCCTTTTGTGTTAGACAGACTTTTTTTTTTCTTCCAAAGATAAATAAACACTTTGCATGACACCAGGCAGTTTCGGATGGAAGAGGGCATGGAGAAAGCCTGAGCACAATGCAGACTTCTGGCCAAGGTGGCTTCACTCGGCTGCCTGCTTCGTTTGAATAACAATATCTTCTCAGTCACAGCGTTTTCCTTCCCCTTCTCCCCATTTTCTCCCCCATGCAGGCCTGAGTAAAAGGCTGTGTGAATTCAGGAGCCTGCCCATTAATGAGCTGGCATCTGATCCGTATTTACCGACGTTAATTTTTGGATGTAATGCACCCCTGCCACTTCCCCACAGTTTGCCCTAAAAGGCTTTCTGAGGGGCACAAAAGCAGAGGGTCAAAAGTGAGTTGACCCCAGCCAGAATGTACAATTATTGCAAAGAGGTGGTACACCAGCAGCTGTCGAAACCCCACCGAAACGCTTCCAAAAGTTGGAGGATGACTAATATACGCCAGAGCCGCAGACTTTGGGCAGGAAGAATTATGGCCCTCCCGAGCAGCTGCAATAATTGTCTTGCCATTGTCCCCCGGCCACCCCCTACAAGTGCCCATTGTGGCTGCGGAGTCAAGTGATTTTATGCTCGGGCTGATGCTGTTTGCGCCCAGCTGCCCGAGCGCTGACACACGAGCCTGGAGAAGGGGGACCCGCGTCTGCTAGACGGGGCTGCGACATACCAGACCTTTTACATAAGTCAAACAGGAACAAATGACTCTTTATCAGCCCCTTCTCCCTTTGAAGTGGCGGCTGCTTATAGGCCCTTACAGCTTTTCCTCCTTAGCCCGAGCAAACATCCTCCTTTTGATATGCTACATGCTCATTATCTCTGCCCCATTTAATGATTTTTGATTGAAGGGTGGCAGCGCAGTTGCCAAGAGGGTAGTTAAAGAGGCTCCACGCAGTCAGGACAACAAGAAAGGCTTTCCTTGTGCAGCAGCCTAAATTTGGAGTTTCTTAACAGTGTGTTCTTGTTCTTAGCAGCAGATAAGGGCTGAGCGTGAAATTCTTAATTAAGCAGTAAATAGAGAGTGGGGTGTCAGCAGATGCAGCCTGTAGCCATGGAGACCAAGTCTGATGAAGGAGGGAGCTAAGACTCAACACCGGCCCCGGGCTCGGGCATGACTGACAGCTGAAGAATCCGACAAAGCTTGTAAACGGGATTAATTAGTTGGCTAATTATTTCATATAGTTAAATGTAAATAAAATATCAAAAAAACCCCAAAATTCTAAAAGAGCCAACTTGCAGAGTTAGGCGGGGAGATGTTCTGAAGGCCAAACCTAGCCTTGTCCTCTCTGGGTGGGTGGGTGGACTGGTGGGGTTTTAAGGCCAGAAGGGACTATTGTGGCAGATTTCTCTGACCTCCTATGGAGCATGAATCTCGCCTCATGAGGTTTCTAATAGCTTCTTGCAGAGCTGGAGCATATTTCCCTGAAACACAGCCAAGCATCTTCTAAGGACCTTGAGTGATGGAAAGTCCACCACATGCCATGAATCTGCTCTGCTGGCTAATTATCCTCACCCTCTCAGCCTGCACAGTGGAGAGAAGGAGAGAAATCCCACACCAGGGCCAGGAATCTGCTTTGTTTCAAACTTTTACCCTACACCGACAGCATAGATATTAGGCACCCAACACTGAATTATTGATCTCACTCCTATAAAAGCCCTCACAGAAAATGTTCACAGCATGAATTATACATGTTAGGTGTTTTCATGAATTTCCTCTCTTGTATGTTGTATTACTATTTCCCTAGCAAATTGAGGAACCACAACAACTCTTTGTGTAATAAAAATCAAGATGAAACTAAGGCAAGAGAAGGACAGGAAAGTATCTGTGATGCAAGAGTGACATATGTCAGCCAGACACTTTTGTCCCAGTCTTCCCAAGACTGTCATCTCCTCTATTTTCATCAGCAGAGGTCAAGTTACTGCTTTAGATGTCATCCTCTGAGCTTTCCCATGCTGCTCTGACAGTGCAAATGAGGATATGCAAACTGAAATGCAGTCACCTTTTATATTTGAAGGAACAAATTTATACTGTTAGTAAGCAGAAATAATAAAGCATTTTTCTTCTTTCAGTAAATACTTGACTTGATCTCTTCTTTCAGTAAATACTTGACTTGATCTCTGGTAAGGCTTAGACACAATAGCTAAATTTACAGTAACCAGTTTACACTTGAACTGTATCTAAATAGGGCCAAGACACTAAGACCAGGACCCCAATAATCTACATGGTTATAATGCTGGCCAAATTCCTGGCACAGCTTTGACCTAGACCAGGCAGACTCCGAGATGGTGACCAGTAGAGTTTGGGATTTAGGAAGCACAGGGATCTTTTATAATTTGAAGCCTGGGTACGTCCAGCCCATTTTTAGAGCTAAAATGTTAAACACAAACTATGCTGTGGCAGTGGCTGAAGGACCAGAGGGGACACAACAAATGTGATTCTCAGACTGAGATTAAGGTTTGGGCTTCCCCACTTCTCCACAAATATGGTTTTCCACACTGGTTGATTTTCACTGTTGCCAGACTAAGCTCAGTGGATTGCCTGCCCTCATTCCAGGCGTGTTTTCCTCTCCACTGTCACAATGATTGTTCTAAAGGTATCCTACACGAGAAAGTCATTTGCATGCCATCTCAGTGCAAAATCAAGGGAATTTCATTACATTTAATGGAACAGAAGTAAAAAAAAAAATCTGTTAAAATGAAAATCATCTTCTTTGCTGGTATGAGTCATGACAGAGAAGATAATCTTCTCAAAGACACCAAAATATATTTGTGATTTCTAGTTCTGCTGCTATTAATAAAGGCAATGATAATTACCTTGCCTTTGGCATATAGAGCTTAGATATTTATAAAATTATTTGCTTGAGAATGGGTATTATGGAAAATGTCCATTACTTCAAAAAAATAATTTCCACCACGCTCCATGATCTCATATACAAAGTCACATAGCCAAATGTTTAAGATGTCTTTGGGAGTTTCCAGCCCTAGAAAATATTCTCTCCCAGTAATCTTACTGCCTTCAGTGGGCTCAGCCTAGCAAGATGGCCATGTTTTTATTAATATCTGTGAGGTAGGAGCAGCTGACAGCAGAGGTCATTGGTGGAATTTAATGCCTTTACCACTCAAAAAAAGCCAACTCAAATACAACTGGTGTCACATCACCCATTATTTATGGCCCATTCCTTTTGTTCCTTTTGTTGCTAGGTCAGGCACCAGACAGATCAGTTAGGGATGCACCTGATGTGCACTTACCTATTTGATCAGCACTTTGAAGGACCTCTCACTTATGGAAAGGCCATTGAAAGCTGGCCTTGAGTAGATTTGGGGTTTAAATTAACGAGACATCAGCTCTGTCACCATTCTTGATCACAAATGTAGATTGCAACCCCCACACTGCACTTACCCAGATAGGTGAACTTCCCCAGCTTGCTGTCAAGATGCCAATCACAGCTCCTGTGTTGGCCATACGAAGGTACCAGCTGGAGTGGCTGTCCCCTCCTTGTCCCACAGGACACCACAGCCTCAAGATGGGCAGGAAGATCCCTGTGTTCCACCAGCAGGTAATTCCCAGCCTTGAAGTTGCTAAATGTCACTGAATACTGGAGAAGAGGGAACCAAAATAAACGTCTGAGTCTGTGATTAGAACTCCATGGAGAGCAGCATAAAGGGGTAAGAAGGATAGCGCTCCTCACAGGCAACTTGTGTTGGAAACAGGAAAAGAGATTAAAAACTAAGCAGGAGGTGATGGTAAATACAGAAAAAAAAAATCAATTCCCCTCATCACTTTTGAAAGGTGAGGAGAATAAATGTCTTCTGAAAACTGCTTCAACATTTAAGGTAGTAAAAAACCTGTTGGTTCCTAAGCACCACACTGAACTTTCACCTAAGATATCCAAAGTCATCAAGCATCCATGGCCAGGTGGGATGGTGCTTAGAGCAACCTGGTCTAGTGGAAGGTGTCCCTGCCTATGGTAGGGATTGGAACTGGATGAGCTTTAAAGTCCTTTCCAATCCAAACCATTCCATGATTCCATTACCTTCCTGCTCCAGGTGACTACTGAGAGTTTATCTAAGAGATAAGAGAGAGCTTATCAGTCATCTTATCTAAGCCTATAAATACAGAGAGACTTTCTCATTGCACTTAACTCTATTTTATTTCTCTCTGTTCATCCAAAGAGATGAAAACATGGTTATCTCTTCCAGATATAATTTTGAAATTATAAAACCTTCCCATGTTACCTGGAGCTGTTTGCTGACCAAAGGGTTGTCAAATGTCAACGTGTAAGTCTCTTTATCCAAGAGAAGAACCATCCAGCCATACAGGTTTGATAAAGTATCAGGGACATAATTGACTGTGTTTGACTTATTCCTACTGTCAGTCACAGTTAAATTATAGGGAATGTCAGGTGCCAAAAAAAAAAAAAAAAAAAAAACACAAACCCACAACAATTAATTACATTTTTGCATTGAACTCTGTTATTTTGCAACCTGTACAGTTTTATTTTTATTTGAATTACAGCAAATGTGCTAGATCTCCCTTAGAATATGTCTCCATTTTTGTAATTATTTATAAATACCATGAGAAACAATATTTTGCCCCAAGTGCTGTAAAAAGAGAAAAAGAGAGATGCAGCATGTAGGAGTAAAGGAAGAGGAAGAGAGCAGAGCAGATTTATCAGAGTACTAATTTCTAAATTGCCAGAGTATTTTCCCTCTGCCAGACTCATGGGACCCACGTTCAACTTTTAGGATCTTCATGAAATTTGGTGGTCTTCTTATTAGCCTCAGCCCAGGCTGGGTGGGGTTTGGAGTAACCTGGTTCTGGTGGAAAGTGTCCCTGCCCATGGCAGGGGGCTGGAATAAGGTGATATTTATTTAGGGTTCCTTCCAACCCAAAGCATTCTGTGATTCTGCGATTATTCACTCCCATTTGAGTGGTCAAAAAGTTTCAAAAAAAGTCCTGTGTAATTCAAAGAGATGTTCTCTGCCTGCTCCTGTGGACTGTTTAAATCCTTCACAAAATGGGTGAACTTTTAGTACAGCAGTCCTTATGAGCAACCAAGTGAGAAGTCAACCCCCTTTTTCACTAGAACTTGGCACTCCTAATTTCTGACCAGTCAAGTCAGGAGAAAAAACCCTTACTGAACAGATCAACATTAGCACTGGTATCATGAGGGGTCATAAACCCTTTAGATTTAAGTTTGCAGTAGACTCCTCTCAGTTTTGGCATTTGAGCTGACAATAAGCTTTAAAAATCCCCTCTTTTAAGCATCCCTTGAATAATTTTTCTCAATATTTGAAGCATTACCTTACAGCTACACATCTCAGCATATTATCTAACCTCTCAGACTGGATATGGCTTACTAACCCAAGACAGTGCTAAAACTCATGTCATCCTGAAATTTGCCTGTATTTGCAGTTTTTGGTTGGATTGTTGCTTTTTTTTTCCCCAGGTGCTTTGGAGATGATGCAAAATCACCAGAGCAGTCATCCCAGATGTATTTTTCTTTTCTCTTTTAAAATCAGTGATTTTTGTTGTTGTTGTTGTTTTTTGGGGTTTGTTGTTGTTGTTGTTGTTGTTGTTGGATTTTTTTTGTTTTGTTTTGTTTTGTTTTTGTTTTTGTTATTCTAGTGCCTGTCACTTTGTCAAAGAGCTTTCTGGTTACCCAGAAACATTCAGCTGAGAAACAGCACTGGCAAAGCAAAGTGTGAATCAGCAAAGGATCACTCAACCAGAAGATATTGGCAGACCAATGAAACTGGAAGGAGTTTATAAGGCTTAAACAGCTTTTGTACCACTAATAAACCTCCTGTTATGGGCATTAACTGGACCAGGATATTAGGCTGCTAATTAAGCAAGTAAATGACAACAAGCACATTATTGCCACAGCTATCAGCACCTGCACAGGTATTCTAGCAGCAGAAGAACACCACACATAATGCAAAACTCTTTTGCACATCAGAAGGAGCCTTATTGAGTTGTAAAGATGCCCAATGTCGCAGCAAATGACAGAGACTCAGACTCATCCTCTCTGCAGCATAAATTCACATGGTTTTACTCTTTATTTATTTTCATTTTCATCACCAGAGGATTCTGAAGAGAACAACTTGAATCACTTTTACTGGGAGATTCTTACCAGTACTTCCAGGAGAAGTAAAGATAGAGAAGAAACCTTGGAAGGGACAGTCCTGCTGGGGTACAAGTCTGACCTGTTAGAAGGTTAGGTGGCAATTCCACACCAGCCATGTAGATCCAATAGCTAGTGAATGGGAATGTGAATTCACTAACAGTGAATTAAATGTGAATCCATTTATGTTGGAGACCAATATTTAGAAGAGCCCAAATAAATATCTTAAAATGCATAACAAACTTCCAGATGGCTACAGTTAAGTGAAATATATATTTTCCTGTGTGTCTACTTTTAACAGACAAGTTATAGAATCATAGAATCGTTTAAGTTTGAAAGGACCTCTGAGATCATTGAGTCCAACCAGAAACCCAACACTGCCAACCTCTAAACCATGTCCTGAAATGCCACATTTACATGTGTTTTAAATCCCTCCAGGCATGGAGACTTAATTCTATTTTTAGAGAGTTACGAGCACCACTGCCCCACAAAGCCCATTTCAACGCCTGACCTCCTTTGCCATGAGGAAACTCTTTCTAATATTCAATCTAAACTTCTCCTGGTGCGTCTTAGGGCCATGTATTCTTGTCCTGTGCCTTGCCTGTGCCAGCCCCCCCCCCTGCCAGTTTCCCCTTCCTGTCAGGGAGTTCTACAGAGCCAGAAGGTCCCCCCTGAGCCTCCTTTTCTCCAGGCTGAGCCCCTTTCCCAGCTCCCTCAGCCCCTCCTCGTACTCCAGATCCTTCCCCAGCTCTGTTCTCTTCCCTGGACATGCTCCAGCCCCTCAATGTCCATCTTGTCATGAGGGTCCCAGAGCTGTCCCCAGCACTGGAGGTGTCCCAGCAGTGCCAGCACAGGGAACAGGCACTGCCATGGTCCTGTTGCCACCCCAGAGCTGGGACAGCCCAGGTGCCTTTGGCCTCTTGCCCACCTGGGCACAGCTGGCTCATGTCCAGCTGAAAGCCTGTTCATGACCCAGCAGGGAAAAGGAGCAGGAGATACCTTATGGCCTGGAATGTCTAGGGTTTTCTTGACCTGGAATGTTGTGTCCTTGTCTTTTACATATATTGCTTGAGGTGTTACCACCCATAAATTCATTTCCAACTCCTGACAGGCTGCCACAACCAAACCAAAAATTTGGGGAGCCTAGAAAGCTTCTCAGCTCAGTGTACAAGTTAACTGGTGCAAGGACACGATAAGCCTGAGATACACTCCCCCTGAAAGGATGTCAGTGTGTTGTTTTTTCACCTCCATGCCAAAAAGGCACCAAAATGGAAGTACCCTACTAATGGAATTACCAGCCACAATTAGCACCATTTCCATTTGCCCTAAATAGCCAGTGATTTCACTGTGCCCTAAATAGCCACCAATCTACCTCTCTTTAATGCTAATGAAGTAGAAGAGCGCTGGCACACCACGAGTATTTCTAATTCAGAGTATCTGAGGGAGCCTGCACGCATCATTAACGTGGAGAGCTTCATTATCAGAGGAGAGCCTTCTCCTGAACTTCTCCTGGCTTTATTAGAAAGAAACTAGGAGGCAATGGTCTTAATGCAAAATTAACCCTCCCTTTAAACTGCTGGAAGCCTTTACAAACTGTAAGGGGGGAAAAAAGGATGACTCATTGTAAAGGCTGTATTTTTTATATCGAAGCAGGTTTCAATTAAGGAGCAATTTGCTTTAGAAATATGGCAGGATTACAGGATAGGGCTTTACAGTCTGAGCCACAATTCACCAATTGTGACTGTATAAACTGTTATATAATTTAGCTCAAATGCATTGTGCAGAACTGCTCGACAGATATGGGCCACAAAGGATTTGTTAAGCCAATCAACAACATGGAGTAGAACAAATATTAACTCTCCTGTTTATGTTTACCATTAACTTATTTATCCTGAGGGTCCATATCTGTGTGCATGAAGGCAGGCACTCTGTTTAGCTCTAAATGCTTTCTGTTTGTGTAATAATCCATTATGATTATCCCTCTTCAAAAACAGGAAACAATTTAGTATTGAACTTCAAATGGGACACCAAATGTTTATACCAAGAGTCCATGTTTATTGTTGGCCAAAGGGAGGCTAATTCAAAATTATAACCATATCAAACACTTTACAGGTTTAATCTTGGGCCCCAGACCAGTTTGCTTTATTTTAATTGCCAAGAACTAAGAATTTTCAGCTGTTTTCAGTAAATGTGTGTATCTTTGTTGAGATACCAAGCTCATTATTCAAATCTGTCTTTTATTATGAATCCTTAGTAGCAGTGATTTTTTTTTCATGCATGAGTCTTTTAGGAAATAACCAGATCTTTGACCCTGATCCTGAGTCACCACCATGGGCTGAATTTTAAGTAAGAGAAGAATTGGAATGGTTTCCCAGGAATAGAAAGGGTTGTGACTGACAAGCCAAGATGGATTAATTCAGAGTAGAATTTCAGTTTGTTGCCCCTGACTTCCAAAATTCCCGGTGTTCTTAAAACATTTCCCCAGATCCTACAGTTTACAAGCTGATATTTTCAGGAAAACTAAAATCAGACAGAAATCCTGAGCTGGAAAGTGGTTGGTGAAAAAACAGTTCAGATGTCTGCAGTGCTAGCACAGCAAACACCAGAGGAGGACTGCTTGTTCACTCTGCTTTTCCCACATCAGGTAGAGCTCTGAAGAGTCCCTGGAAGTGTCCAATGCCAGGTTGGACAGGGCTTGGAACAACCTGGGGTAGTGGAACTTGTCCCTGCCCATAGCAGGTGGTGGAACAAAAGGATCTTTAAGGTCCCTTCTAACCCAAACCATTCTTTGATTTTAGGTTCAGTATGTTGGTTGTTACAGGGAGTCCCAGTTGATGCACCTGGCTCTGATCTATCCAGGCCACACGAACCATCCAACAGACTTGTCAGACTTCTCCTTGCCAGGAAAAAAAGCTTAGGGCCAGCAAACATTGCATCAATGTTAAATTTATCTCCCTGCACTTGGAAATACTTTAGATGATGGTCAAGCTGAGGGAGAAGGCTTGAAGAATATCTTGTCTTGCATGCTCATAACGCCATGCAGGATCTGGCTTTGCTGCCCATACCCCTGACTGCAGGGTGAATGGAAAGGTGTCCTCCAGTGGGAAACAAATTTCTCTTGGTGGGATGTCTGAAATGCCAGAAATGCAGTAGAGTAAAGGCTGAATCTCTAAAGCTGAGCTGATGAGTTGGTAACTGAGCAGTCAATAATTTAATATTTGCCTTCCATGTTACATCACAGGATTGGTTATTGGGATATGTGACCATGTAAGCTGCCCCCTGTGTGGGTACAATCATGTGCATGGAGAAGACACATGGCCAGAGAGAGACTGAAGACATTGAGAGAAGAATCGTGGTTGTCAGGGTGTTTCACAGCAGGGAGATGTTCAGCTGAAGGCACCACAGAAAGTAAATATCAAAGGAAAAGCAAAACCAGAGTAACCATCTGAACTTTCTTCATGATTCAAAGACACAGAGGTAGGGGGACACCAACCCATCAGCAGTGGCTGAGTTTGCAGCAGAAATGCATCACACAGAGAGGATGTTAGAGCTAATTTAGGAATGAAACCTAAAAAGTTAATCTTTTGCTCTGAAGCAGAAGAGGGAGACAATAAAAGGCTTGAACTGCAAGACTGGTGCTGAGCAAGTCCAAGGTTTCCCCAGTGAGATAAGGAAAGCAGATTGGAGGGACCAGGAGGGAAACTCCCTTTTGGCAGACGCAGCCACGGATGTTTGGAGTCCCCTTCGCCGCAAGGTGCTGCCATTCTGCAGATTATTCTAATGCTCTCCTCTTGTAAAAATTATGCATAATGTGAAGAAACTTTGAAAGTCACTTAATCATGTTATGACAATTTTTTAATGAAAATTTGTTTTAATATTAATAGAGATTCATAGTTTCATGATAATATGGGTAGCGGTGGCATTTGGAGCAGCCGTTTCTAGCCTGCAGCCATGCTGTGCTGTGCCATAGCATAAGCTGTGCTTCAGACTACTCAATAACTTTCTCACATATAAATTTATAAAGACTTTTATAAGCTCCAATTACATTTTTAAAAGACATAAAACCCCTCTTTAAAGTGTGCTTACGTGACACATTAGTTTAACTTTCAACTGGACTTTGTGAAGAAGGGTTTTGTTATAGCAGTGGTAGCTTGGAAATGGATCCCCATTTCCCTGGAAGTTGTTGAGTGAGGTAGCTCAGGACAGAGAGTCACAAAATACTAAAGATAGTAGTTCTCCTTTTCAGAAAAGAGCTTCCATAGTTTTTCTCTTAACAAAACGCTCTTTCCTCCCAAACACATAGTTTATTTTGGGGAAAGGTGTCACTAAAACACATGCATCCTGGTAAATTAAACAGCACGAAGATAAACAGTTAATTGCCCACATTGTATCATAAATAATTGAAATTGTTCCAGACATTCTTTTAACTGGCACCAAACAGCCCTATCCCTGAAAACTCCCAGGCAGGGGATCTTCCCTAAAAATTAGTGCTGATGCAACATCCCTGATGTTTTGGATTCTGAGATGGTTAAAAATATGGCCATGTCCATGTCCTTGCCTGTTGCTCTCAGGGTCAGGGAATGATCCTGAGGTTTCTGAGATAGAGAGTGCCATACTAGGTCTCCCCTCTTAAAATCCATTATTTGCCTCAAACTTCAAGAATTTTGGAACTGGAATCTCATCTCTGAAATTCAGGATAAGTGAAAAAACCCAACATCTCAAGCCTCTCATGTTTGTTTTTTTTTTGGAGGAGCACAAAAAATTCATGTTGTAGACCTGACAGGTCTCAAATTCCACGACCTGGTAGAGCACAATAGAAAGATTTCTTCCAGAGAGATTTTTAACCCTTTTCTTGTCAGAAACTAAAGACAGACAAGCAACAGTGCTTTTGTCTTTTCATTGAGGTGAGATGACTCCAAGAGGAACTTGTTAGGAATTTTTTTCCTGTCACTCACCTATCTTTATTCTCTTTACTCAACCTCTGCCAATTGCTCCCAGTCATGTTTTGTTGTATTAATCCTAAACTATTCCTTTTTTATTGCAAACACTCTCCAAATGCATCTGGATAAAATTCACCCATTGTCCTCCCACCCCCTCATCCTCTGGTCATGCTGTAGGTATTTTAATGACTTTTACTCTTCATCCCCTCCAGCTCCTTTTATTCCCCATCCTGGTCCTCTCCGAGGTTCCTTTTGGAGCTTTACCTATCTGAACAAAGACTCCCTGACTCACCACACTCATTTGGCTGGATCTGAAAGTCTTTCAGCTTCACAGGACGGTGATTTGGCTGCTAGGAGCTGCTGAGGAGAGAGGATCTGGAAGCAGCACAGAGAGGATGCTCACATTCCCTGGGGTTACTCTGCTGAGTACACAGTCCTCAGGAGGACAGGCTAACAGCTGGCTCCTTCTTCTCAGACTGCCAAGGATCTGTTACATAAACTGACTCCCAGCTCATGCAGATGAATAATGAAGATGCTAAATAAATACTTGCTTGAAATAAAACCTTAATTGAGAAGTCATTGATATGACTAATCACCAAAACCTGGAATTATTTAGATTGGAAGGGACCTTAAAGCTCCTTTAGTTCCAACCCCCTGCCATGGGGAGAGACACCTTCTACAAGAACAGTTTGCTCCAATCCCTGTCTAACCTAGTCTTGAGCACTTCCAGGGAAATTCTCATGCAGTTTACTGGGAAGACAAAATTTAGGTCTGGTAAAGTCTTCCAGAGTTAACAGCAATGTTACAGATGAACTTCCACTTGTGCTTGTTCCTTACCCACCTTTTGATGCCAGGAGAAACAAGGTGTATTAAAAATCTTAACTGCCATGAATTATTAACAATTACATTGTGGCAGTATCCAAAAGGACCCAAACCACTCTACAGGCAACATTTAGAGAAGCTCCATCCACCCACACAGCATCAACCCAAAGATCTTGCAGTCCATTTCACCAAGGTAAACAGAGACTAGAAAGGGAATTAATTTCCCCAAGATCTCATGGTTAACTGCTTAGGAAAGACACCAAGCACAGTTTTGTTTTGCCTTCTACCCAGTATTCTTTTAGTTACATATGAATGACTCCAAGCTCTTAAATTTTTGCAGACTTTTGGTTTCATTACGAGACAGTAATCGCATGCAAAGCCTCCAGGTAACTCAAAGTCCTATAGTTTTCTCCTTCAATGGAAAAGCTGATTAGTTTTTTTCCTGTTTGGGAAGGGGTTGGGGTTTTCCCCCTCCTACCTCTAAAACATTAATTATGAGGCAGACATGAATAATTAACAGCCCTCTGACAGAGCACTTCAGGATTTTTGCCTGTGTACTCCTAACCTGAGACAGCAAAAAATGGATAATTTTCAGATTTTTACTTCAAAAGGAGAGTGAAATACTGAGCAGGGGACTGGGAAGGGAAGATGAGCATGGGAAGAAAAGCAGGAGTGATGCTTAGATCTCTAAAAATTTTTTTCACCCTTTTTCTTATGTCAGAAATATGGAAGTGTCCTCCCTGGGTGATAGAAGTGGCAGCAGTTTTTGGCTGAACAGCATTCCTCCACTGGATCCCCTTAGCCACCAGCTGGGGAAAGGCAGGGAAAATTCCAGCTTGGGGAGACAAGTGAACTGGGACAGAACTGGGAGCTGTACAGGCACGAAAGCTGATGGGAATGGCCTGGCTGTACCCCAGGACTGGATTATTATTAGAATTCTTTCTAATTTCCCAAGCTATCAAATTCTTCAGTGTGAACACCAGATCTGACACAGCATCTCCAGGAGATCCTTGTCCTTCTGCCATGGAGTGACAGGCCATGGGAGACAGCACAGCAAATTCAGAGATGCCACTGCTGAGGCTGTAGACCTAGTTTAGGATCAAGCAGAGAGGCAGCAGTCCTGGGACTGAGCTCAGACCAGCAGCAATCTCAGAACAACACACAGAAGCAAAACCCACGCTGTATTTTGGGAGGTGGAGCAATTACTTACAAATGAAGATCCATACGGTGGAAAACAAGGTCACTGTCACAGACACTGGCACCAGAAACTTGGCTGAAGTTGGCACTGGCTGTGCAAGATGCTGCCAGGATATCTGTGGAAGGCAGGATGTGACTTCCTTTCTGTCCCGTGGTGGAGCCATCAAGGTCCTCAAGGATGGCAGAGTGAGGGAAGGGGAAGGACACTTGGAAAGGGGAATTGGTGAAGGTCAGATGTTCAGCTGTCACTGTAAACCCACCTGTGGGTGACAAGCAGCATGTCAAAAAAAACCAAAATGGTCACCTCATGTAATGGGGTTGAAGACAACTCTCTGGAGGAAAAGACACCAACTTTATTCCACTTTGCCTTTGGAAAAATGTCTGATGGGTCAACAAAAAATAGGAAGATTCAGGAAAATAAATGGAGATGGTTGTAAGAATAGCTGTTGCTGTGCCAGACCAAACCTGCCCAGTGCCCTGCTGTGACTGTGGTTCAGACTCACCTGATCCAGGTGCTGCTCCCGGCCCTACCAGCAGCTCCTCAGTGACTCCAAACATTTATTCACAGGCCCCACAGCCAAAATTACAGTGACTCTTACAGATCCTGTCTGCCTTTTTTTTAGAGGTGAGTACATGGTGTTAATGCACTTGACTCTTTTGCGTATTTGCCGCACCTGGCAGAATAAAGCCTAGGCTGAAAAGTGAGTCTGGAGGACTTTTTCACTACTGAAACATAGAAAGCTACAAAAAAAGTTGAATATTCATGCAGGCTAAAGTTTTTGAGCACATTAATATTTACAAAAATGTCAGAAAATCATTGCCCCATGGACTGTAACAAGTCAGCCTTGGCCGGAGTGCGCTACAATATGGGTTACTATTTGACAGTCCTATTCCCAGTTTTTTCCCTGACTAAGCTGGATTTTACTATTCCTCCTGTCCTTTGATCTCATCTCCTGAAATATTTTTCTCTTTTATGTTATTGTATGGAAGTCTTTATTTATATATAAATATATTTTATTACAATACAAAAGGCAATTGCAGTTGGAACATTCTTCAAAGAGCCTTTGAGTACCTCTTCAAAGCTCAGAAGGATGCTTAGTTCACACATTATCTTAGGCAAATTCACCTCAGGTTTAGGCTGGCCTGAGGTAGCAGTTTGGTGAAATTCTGCAAGGTTGTGTCACAGCTTTTAAAGAAATCACCAGTCTTGAAATTTTACCTCTCAAAATGAAGATGCAGAAACAAGGCAGTGTATAAAACCTGTTTCCACTAAGAAAACTGTATCAGTGCAAAAATCAGGCTATGTTTGTCTAAAAATAAATGCAATATGTGGCTTCAACTGAGTGATGAACCCATATCCAGAAAGACTGGGGAGAATCTGAAATCTCAGCCCGTGCAGAGGAGTTATCAATTGTCATCTGTGGAAATTATGAACTTGTAATGGGAGGGGAAGCTAGGGATTTGGGAATCTTGAGAAATAAATATAAATCAGACTCACCCTGCCCTTGGTAACAGCCAGAACAAGTCCTGATTGCTGTGCAAGTGTTCACATCAAAGTTCCTGAAAGCTGTGTTGGAGATGAGGAGCTGGTATCTTTTGGGAGTCCTTAGTCCTGCAGACATACAGGTCCTATCCTGAAATGGAGAAACGAAGGAAACATCACCATGTGAATCATGGAGTCCTAGAATGGTCTGGGATGGAAAGGACTTTAAAAGTCACCTCATTCCAACCCCCTGCCATGGCAGGAACATCTTCCAAAAGACCAGGTAGCTTCAAGTCCTGCCTAACCTGGCCATGAACACTTCCAGAAATGGAGCATCCAGGATGTAGCAGCTGGGAATGCAAGAGTGTGACTGCCCATAATTGTGGAGTTTAAAGGACAGATGTAAGCTGTTGTTTGGAAAATTCTCACAACATCCATCTAATTCCCCACTTGAAGCAGGTGATAGCATCACTTTTAAGGGCAGCTTGTTGCCCTTTGTTGAGTTGTTGCATAGTAGTTATGATTGGGCATTCCCTGGGGAGAAAGAATCCACCAAAAAGCCCCAGAGAGTGGATTTTCCATCCCCATTTCACTTTACTTTTTCTGTCCAGCAAGTGGGAATTTTTCCTGCTCTGCAAACATGACTGTCCTTATTTCTGTTCTAAGAAGAATCTGAGCACTGAAATTCAAAGGGATTTTGTGTGATTTGGCATGGGGACACACTCAAGCCAGGCTCTCAGAAAAGCTCTAGAGGACCTCAGGGTCTATTAGAACTTAAAAAGACAGAAAGGAAGAACAAAAGCCACAGGAGATGAAAAACACAATCAACAAACTGGATTTTGGAGTGATTGTAGTCCACAGCAGAATGGAAGTGTACAACCCTCTGCCCAACTCTCTTGGAAACAGGCTGGAAATAAAGATATACTTAGAGTTAGTGAGCAGCCTGGAGGAAGAAGGGCTGGCAGGAGTCTGTGATACTATTTCTGAGGCCAATGAATACTTGTAGAATATATCTCAAAAGCCATAGTAAAGAATCAATCAAGAAATCCACTCTGTGCGAAAACACCTGCAATTGAAAGGAAAGAATGTAATGGACTCTTATATGTAGATTATTACTTCCAAGACAAGGTGCTATCTTCAGTCTTTGTAAGACACAGTAGTTCCGTCAGCTGTTTTATTCTGAGGCTAAAACATCAGGAGTGATAGTCCTGGTCCTTGGGCCATCCCATTCCAAATCACTGCTGAGCAGAAATCCTTGATTTCTGGTAACAAATTGCTCATAAAGTCTCTATTGGATTTTTTTCTTACACTTCTGGTTCTTCCATCCCACCTAATTTTCTATCTTTTTAAAATTAATTAATTTTATTTAAACAAATAGCAAATAGACCAGTGTGAGACAATAATTCCTTCCTTGTGTGTCTCAAAACTCTTGCTTTTTCCAGGAAGAAAGTCTTCTCCTTAAATGGTCCCACAAAGACAATGAGTTGCTTAATGAGAACATGGAGGAGGCTTTCTGAATATCTTGGAAGTTAAAAAAAAAACAACCCTTTAACTTGGCTTTTGCCAGTCCTGGATTTAGCCCTGTCACTAATGTTTCAATGGGTCAAAGCCCCAACCTTTCAATGTCCTGATATTTCCAGAAAACAATCTTGTTTTAAAAACACTTTTTTCCAAAAAGTGGAAGGGCTAGCAGAGAGGAATATCAAGGTTCACATTAAAATAATGTTATAAAGTGTTAATTTATATTAGAGACATCATTATTAAAGGGAGAATTACATACATTAAGATGTAAATTATGACAAGGAGGCTCTTATCATGAGATAATCAAAGATAATCCCCTCCCTGAGGTACTGCAAGAAACAAGGAACGGCATGAGCGCCTCTAAATCTCTCAGCAAGTACAACACTGGAGTTCTTCCACGGATCCTGCAAAGCAAAAACAAAGACATCCACCCCTTGGTCAGAGAAACTCACTGGGACATCACTGGGATGCTGCAAGGTTGGACAGGTGAAGCCAGAATTTTATCTGAACTATCCACTTAGAACAGACCTGCCAAGGCGGTTCCTTTCTGTGAGCTTCTAAAGAAAAGCCATTTAAAATACTTTTATTTCTGCCAGACAGAGAGAAAATTAATTTAATGAACAACAATAGAGAACTGAGCAGGGGAAAAAAAAAAAAAAGACTTTAAAATCATGAACAAGCAGCTGCGGCCAGTTGTAACTAAAATTCCATTGTTATCTATGTTATTAATCTGTTAACAACCTGGTAGCACCCAAAGGACTTTGTCCAGCTGCCTAAAGAAATAGTGGAAGAAGAACATATTTACTGCATAAATAAAATTACATTTTGTCAGTATTTTTCATTCCCAAGTAAAAAAGTAACACTCTGTGTTCCAGGTGGACCAATGATGCTGAGAGAGAGAAGAGGAAACCAAAGTGTTAACAAGGACAGACACCAAAGCTGGTGTTCCCCCTCAGTATTCTCAAATCACTAAACTAAAGACACTTGTGCATAGTTAAATGGTGCTAAAAGCAAAAGGTGTGTAGGAATTTGTGTTCAAAAAGCTTGGTTAAAGAAAAATTATTATTTCTCTCAAAAAGTCATGTTTGATGAAATTCCAAGATTTTTCTGAGACCATATCAATCCTGGAAAAAAAAATATGAGTAGGAAAAAAATTTGCACTTGTCTTGCTAAGATCCTTCAGCTTTTTGTGTTTGTGATTTTGCTTTCATTTTTTAATTGTTATTTTAGAAAGAATATATGGGATTATGCCTTATAGTGTGAAATTTTATAGTAGTTTCTGATGAAAATAGAAAAACCAGAGTCCCTGTTTCAAATTTGCTTAAAAATCTTAAAAACTTCCATGCTGAAAGGAAAAGATGTTGGGAAAAAACCTGTAGAACTGTTTTGGTCGGAAAAGCCCTGTAAGACCATGGAGCCCAACCATCAACCCAACACTGCCAAGGCCAACACTAAACAATGTCCCGAAGTGCCAGCATCTACATGGCTTTAAAAACCCTCCAAGTGATTCCACTACTGCCCTAGGCAGTCTGTCCCAACACTTGAAAACATTTCAGTGAAGATATTTTCCCCAAAATCCAGTCTAAACCTTTACTGGTGCAACATGAGGGCATTCCCTTATAACCCGTTTAAAATCCAAGCTTTTCCCAAGCTGCCATGAGGCAGGGGCTGTTCTCCAGGTTGCTTTCTTATTTCTCCACATTCTTATTGATATGTTGATGTGAGACTTAAGAGACATTGAAATTCCTTGCAGTTCTTACCTTTTGCCCAAGGCGTCCATTTAAAACACTCTCAGACACAGAGGTGTTTCCCAGGCTTTCCACAATGTCAATGCCAAAATCTTTGCAAGCAGAAATCCAGAAATGCTGGAGCTCAAGGTTCCTGCTTCTGAAAATCTACATGAAAGGAAAATAAAATAATAAAAATGCATATCATCATCAAATAATGTAATGGTTTTGGTTAGAAGGAACCTTAAAGACTATTTCATTCCAACCCCTGCCACGGGCACTGACACTTTCCACTATCCCAGGCTGCTCCAAGCCCCATCCAACCTTGCCTTGAACACTTCTGAAATGGGGCACCTAAAAGAAAGAAGATTGTTTCTAAAGGGAGCTCATGGAAAAAAAGCAGAATATACTTAGTTATTTGTGTATTCTAGGTCAGTCACATACAAAGAAATTACGCGTTATGCAGAGAAAACAAACAACAACAAACCTGCAAATCACCCTTTTACTCCTTTTCATACAAATAACCTTTCCATAAAGAGAATGCAGATCCTGAAAAATCACACTGAAAAATTGGACACCTTCAGAGGAAGAGTCATATGGGTGGGTGAGGCTATAAAGCCTTACAGACAAATACATACTGCTCAGGTCATCAGACAGGATTTAATAAGATCAGAGGCTCCAAACTGTGAGTATGGGAAAAAATGTGACATAATAAAGGGTGGTGTGGCTTTTAAAAATCAGATTAATTAATAGTGAGTCATATTAGCTGGATAAACTAGACCCTAGACAAATTTGAATAATAAAAGGTGCAAAATTTTAAGAAGAATAAAAAAAATCCCATGGGAACCATCAGTTCTATAAAGGTAATATATCTACCTATTGCAATCTTCATGAACAGCTCAGATATACTTGGAGAATTTTTTATTTGGCAACATGGTCTAATGGAAGGTTGGAATGAGATGGATTTCAAGGTCCTTTCCAACCCAAACCATTCTAAAATTCTACTATTACAGTGGCAGACAGATGCTAGATGATTACAGAGAACGCCAGCTGGTGAAAGTAGCATTGATTTTGTAGCAAAAAGAATTCACAAAAATCAAGTTTCTGGCTCTTTCATTAAAACAGGAGCCTCCAGGTGAGACGCATGGACACAGAAGCACAAAAGCTTTTAGTCAGTGTGGAGGTGAGATACTTGGAAAGATCCTGAGCATAACAGAATGCAGAGGGGACAAACCTACCTGCGCTCCCCCTTGGCAGCTCCAGGCTGTGAAGTTGTTGAGCTGAACACAACTGTCTGGCAAATACTCTGGGTATACCAATAACCCGTGTCTGTTTAGGAGAGAAAGCCATGGAGACTGTTCCGTTACAGTGCATGTACTGGTGAGAAGATTTTTCTATTCATCATTTTGATATCTAAAACCTTTAATCAGTAACAGTTGTCTGCATGAGACTTGATTTCTTTAAAGTCAAAAGTTTTCATTGTTAGAGCTGAAAAGGAGTGTGCAGTGCCACTGAGAGGTTGCCACTGCAAAACATCCCCCCCCCATGCTCATGAGTTTTCAACCAGTGTCACCTTCAGGTAAGCCTGGCATGAATCTGTACAGATAATGCTCTTCTTTATCTTGGATTCAGCCAACTTGGATTACAGCCCAAACGTATGGATTCCTGAATGCAGGACTTGGTTGGACCTTCTCAGAGATTTAAAATCCAGATTAATATCCAGAATAACTCAAAATTCAGGTCACATCAACCACTGATTTTCAGTACAATGTAATTTTTTAAATATTCTTTCTCCAATACTCTTTCTGTTTTAGGGAAGTGCTGGTTAAAACTTTTGTCAATAGCTGTTCCTGGATACTAAAGGAAGAATTGTTGAATGAAATGTCACAGAACCATGGAACCAGGGAGTATTGGAAGGGACCTTAGAGATCAACTCGTTCCACCACCCTGCCTTGGACAAGGACACCTCGCACACCAATTCTGCCCTGCTCCAGACAGCTCTGCTTGCAAGAGACAAGGACCTGAAAGGGTGCAAAACTGGGGAGGAATATCCTGAAAAGAGGGGCAAAGCCTTTTCTGCCCACCACTGCAATTATAGATGGAACAACCATTTGCTGAAGGAAAATCTCCTTAACCAAACTCCCCAAGTACCTTGTGCAGGAGTGAGCTGTGTTCTCACTGAAGGACAGGAGAGGCACTTTGGATGGTCCCTCAGGGGAGAGATGAAAGAAATAGCCATACCCAGCACCACACACTGTGTTCCCCTGCAGAGAGGAACATGTGACTATGAAAGTAATATTAGCACAGATTTCTGGAAATGAAAACCAATTTAAGAAACACACAAATTGAAATCCCAGCTGTAGTCCATTCAAATTCTGGTAAACTGGCTGGTGGAGACTTGTACCTCATTTCTGTGTCCCCTGTCTTGTTCTGTTTTCACTTTGACCTTGGGCCAGTTGTAAACATACTTGTTTTCAAATCAGACAAGGAGGATTGGCCAAGCAATAGAGACAAAAGAACAATGGTGTAGTCACAAACCTTCAAGAAGTAGGTAAGAAAAAAAGGTGCTGAAAACTTACATCTATAAACACCTTTCAATATAAGAAAATGTCAGGAAGAAAAAGTAAATCACAAACTAATCCCAAAGGTAAATCACAAACTAATCAAGTTTATTGGTTTCCTTCTCAGTCTTGATATTTCTCTTATCTCCCAAAGCAAACACGGAATAAGGAAATATAGGAAATATTTGCATTGAAAAAGTGAGACTCCAAAAAGTCAAGAGAAAGCAAAGAACAACATCTTCAGGATATGTCAGTGACTGAACAATTAAACTTCCTTAGACCTGTGGTAAATTATATCGTTTGGATCATTTTTACAGGATAAATGAATAACCATAGAAAGATGTGCTGTAAGTTATTGTTGTTTAATATCTCTTAAATAAATTGCATTCTAAATTCTAAATTCTGCACTTGTGTCGTAAGTAATAAAACAATAAAAATAAGTGGACATAAGGTCTGACTGGCCTTAAAATTAGGAGTTTGGTAATTACAGAATCTGCATTAATTAGGTTATATGAGTTGTATTGGGTGTGTTCTGGACTTCTCTACTCTAGGACAAAAACCCTGTTCTTGCCAGCTTAATTTGGAGAGCAGCCAAGCCTAATTGGGTTTGGGTTGTGTCCATATAGCAATGTCTTTATGTGTGCACCTGTGCATGATCCCTCTCACCTGCCTTAGGTGTGTGAAAATTTGAAGACCAGGCTGGTAGATTTTAGCTCCCTTTTGAAGAAAAAAATAATAATAATAAAACATAGGCATGTGCTGAAGGCAATGCTGTTGGTCTGTCCTTAGACAAAATTAATTGCTCTCTAGAGGTATGTGGCTCTCAGAGGGGGGTCTAAGATGGCCTTTCTTGCAGCTCTAAGGAGGGCTTGTTCTCTAAGATCAGGTCTGACACCACCACTCCCATTCATAGGTCACTGGACAGTGTTAAAATACTAATGACTTTTTGGTCCCTGATGGTCCAAATCAAAGCTGAGCCTGGTGACCTCGAGGTGAAACCCTCCATATACCAATTACTTTCTTCTGACCCATCCAAGTGTGCTCCCTGCAGTCCTGATCTCTGACATCTGTCAAGGAATAAAGTACTGAGACCCAGAGCTCTGCTTCCTCTATCCCCTGGTAAAACTGCTGCTTTTTCTGAAAGTGCAGCCCTGGACCCTTTTTCTTTAACAAAACATTTCTGCAGTCCAGTCACATAATTTCCAGGATATTTTACTTGTGACTCCAATCGTGCGTTCTACAGATGATTCATAAGGAAAAAAAAAAAAACCTGCATATTTATTCAGCCAGCTCATGGCTGGAGGGCAGGGGTTTTAGGCAAGCAGGGAATTTTGTGTGGAAATCAATTCTTTGTGGAAGTCAGTATATTACGAATGTCCATGCAACCAAAATTCCAGAGAGAAATTACCTCCCTGAGCATGCCAAAAACCTGGAGGTATGCACTGCAAGTCACTAAAATCAAGTGGCTGACGGTTTAAGTGTCTCTTAACTGTTACAACTCTGCTGGTGTAAATATTTCATGAATTTCTTTTAGATAGCTGGGACTCAAACTGTTGACCTTAAAGATGACATTAAAGCTCTGGACAGTGCTCCCAGCACCGCTCCCACAGTTTCAGAGCTGGGCAGGATGTGAGTAGCACTCACAATGTGCCTGCTTTGATGTGGGCCCACTTTGCAGGAAAGGGTTTGGAAGAGATCTCAGCAGGGATGGAGCAGTGGGAAAACTGTGCCAAACATGCAGCCTCACCTCTTTGGTGCTGTGGAGAATAGCTGGATGGGGTGACACTAGGAAACAAATGCATTCACCAACAGTGTGACAATCAGTCACTCCTCTGACACGGAGACACCAGCTGAGCTCCACCCCGGTCATTCATCTGAGCTGTTTCCCAGTCCTCAACACCAAGGCAAGAAAGGAGAGGGAGGTTCTTGCTGGGTTTCTTAAACCCAGTCCATATGTTGTTATGCATGAGCACCGCATGCTGGCTCTGGCATTTCAGGGCATTGAATGTTTATGGGTTGGAACAACAAAAAGGCCAAAACTCACCAGGCTCAAGAGAGACAAAATAAAAAGATAGAAACCTACATTTAAAATTATTTTTCCGCACACAAAAAGAAAACCAAGGACATGGGGTGGATATTTCATTGAGAAAAAAGCCAGTATCACAGAGGAGTATCTTCAGTTCCTTGGGCTGATAGCATTTAAAATGCAAAAAAACAGCTTGCTAATGAGATTGTCCAAGACTCTAAAAAGTGATAACCTGGGCTTACACACTGTGTTTAAAAAAAATTACACTAACCTTGCAATAATCAGTTTGCACTCATACTGTCCAATTATAAAATTTTGTCTAACAGCCTGATTCACCAGTGCACTTAAGAGCTTAAGTCAAATGGAAGCCAGTGGGAATTGGGTCTCCAAACGTCTTTGTAGGCTCAGGTTTGAGTGACTGCTCTGTCCCAATTTCCACACCATTTAGGCCACCACTGAATTTCAAGGAAATTTAAGCTCTTCAGCCACCGATGCAAATTTAAGCTCCCAGGTAAATTGACTAGTTATAAAAACATTACTGCAGGTCTCACTGTAGAAAGGCTTAACCCATCATGCACAGAAGATGTTGCACAGCTTGGACCTAGAGCTCTCTGCAGTCCCTGCCTTAAACATTGCAGCCAATAAGTTAAAACCAACCATCAAAAGATAGAAATCTGAAAACAAACAAAAAAACAAGCACAAAACCAATGAACAAAAAGACTGACAAACACCTAAAATTAAATTCTAAACTGGGAAAGTTTCTATTGTATGTCCTGGCCTTAGAACCAGGCAGGTGGAAGATGAGTCTTTCCCATCATATTCTTCAAATTTCCCCAATGTACTAGGCTAAAAAGCTTGAATCATATGATCTGAGAATTTTCATGAGAGAAAAGGTGCTAAGACTACATCATTATAATGGTGGTGCTTGTACTACTGGAATTTAGTGATTACTATACCACTAAGAAAAAGTCCACAGTTCTTTTGCCAGGGAGAAATGTGACTTTTCTCTTAATATCCCTGTGCTTTGCTGCCTTCCTGAGCACTGCTTGGTCCTGTTGTACAGTAAGCACAGTTAATAACAATTTTAAGCTGGGCAATTTCTTTGATTTTTCCTTTTGCTGCTGCAACTCCTCAAATATTCCACTCCTCAAGATGATGAAGGTCATCAGCAACCATTTGAGGGCCATCTGTTATCCTGCCTGGAGCAGCACATCTCTGAGAGCAGAAAGGACCCCCTGATATTGGGGTACACAGCCGCAGCTGTAGCTTTATATCTGCAAACTCATGTGAGCAGAGAGGGATGAATAAATGTGCTGAAAACCCAGCACAGCCAGTTCCCAGGAACCCGTGGAGGTAATTGCAGCAAAACCTTTTCAAAAGCTGAGCCACTGGCAATGGAGTGAACAGCTCCAGGGTAAGTCAGTGCATGACAGTACAAAACTCTGTGCTTAGTGGAGCTGAAATTCTCATGATTCTGCCTGGTTGTTGTATTTTAAAACTATATTTGATGGCCTTAAAAATGATAAATATGGCCTCAAGGGAATTGCAGAAAAGTTCTCTCTTCCTTCCTCGGTGCTGCTGTCTTCATAAAAACATAGGAAATGTGTTGGTCTCTTTTTCACCTTCAAATTTAGGTGTAAATCTTCCCTCATGGAGCAGAAGCCCTGGGGGTGATTTGGTCTTCACAAACAGTAATTGGTTTGGCTACTGGGGGTTAACAATAGAACAGGTTAGGATTATTTTTTAAATGAAAATATGCATTTTTCACTACTGAAAGTGTGGTAAGAAAGATCAGTTTCAATGTAATTCCTTAAAATAGTTGGGAAAGAAAAGTGGTTTGAAGTTGATGAAAATCATATTTTTCCACTAAACACATAAAAGTGACTCTTTATTCTGAAATGTAAGACCAAAAAAGAGTATGAACTAAGAGAAAGCATCAGAGAATTAGTGAATAAAAGTATTTTTTCTGAGCTCAGCTTTTTGATGTGTGCCTGTTAAGCTGTTAGCTCTTTAAAAACCTGGTGGTTTATAACCATTTAGAATAAAGAAACTTCATTTCTTTCAAAATCAATGTCATTTTCATAGGACAGGAAACACTCTCTTTCTCACCCCAGAATGCAAATCTTCAGCTGTATGGTCAAGGTGATTTTAAATCCAGACAGAGATGTTGCTGAATTTTAGTGTTTTTGTAGTCAGTCCATTAAAACTGAGGGGTTTGGGTTTTTTTAATAATGGCAGAAATTCTAGAGAAGCTGAGACTAAACTTCTTCCAAGTTTTCTGAATCTGTGAGCATTATAAAATAAAACAACATTTTAAAGTACCTCAGGATGAATTCTCTCACTGTAATATTCCATTCCACTCAAATACAGCAAAATTCTCAGTAATAAATTTACCCAGGAACATAATTTATTTTGTAATATGCACTTGTTTCAATATCCCATCACAAGCACGGGTTCTGACAGCTCAGCCAAGAAACAAATATTGTGTATGTGATCTCCCAGATAAATGAAGCTCTGTGTCTTTCTGATACCTTTGATTAGAAAGGAAATGTTATGTCTTATACCAGAACTTCTTACCCTGATGTGACTGGCAGGAGCCCTGACATAGATTCCTGCTGGTGACAGTGTCTCAATATTAGATAAACCATCAGTTACAGAAAGGCCAACCACTATGTTGTTACTGATTTTGTTCTTCTCTTCCAGTCCCTCACCTTTAAAAGAAAAAGATACAAAGAAAAGGAAAAAAAATTTAAAAAGTAAAACATAAGAGAAAGAAAAAAGAAAAATAAACATAAATGTACTTATAGCTGGAAACCCTCTATTCTCATGATACTCATTTCAATATACACAAGTCCAGATGCTATATTCCCATCTATTTCCCTGTACAAGGTATTATATGTGACTATACCAAAAGTCATACATTCTGGACTGAAAAATTATGGCAAAAATAAATAAAATATGTATTATAAAGCAGATTTACAGTTGAGAAAAGAGACTCAGAGTGGTTCAGAGTGGGAAAGAGGCTCACCTATGCACACAAAGGCATGCTCCTGGCAGTACTAGAATTCAAAGTCTTCTTTATCTCCTATCTCCATTCACTGTCCTACTTACATGCAAGAAAATTTCTAAACAGGCTGAAAAACACCTGGTGGACCTCTGCATAAAAGTGGGGGGTTGCCCCCCTAAGCAATAAAAATAGACGAGAAAGGGAAAAATCAATCAAGAAATTGATCAGACAACACAGACCCTTGGGGTGCTCCAGATCTACTTACAGTATAGAAATTGGAAGAAGAAAACAAAATAAATATTTTCTAAACTACATTGTAAAGAAATTGCCCCCCCAATGGCAAGGAGGGGATGACTGTTCATGCAAGCAATTCCAAATAAGGACACATGGAGAGGATAAGGGGAAATGGCCTTAAGTTGCTCTGGGAGAGGTTTAGGTTGGATATCAGGAAAGATTCCTCATCTAAAGGGTGGTCAGGCATCGGAACAGGCCAGGCCACCCAGGGAAGTGGTGCAGTCACCATCCCTGAGAGTGGTTGCAGCCATGGGGATATGGCACTTGGGGACATGGTTTAGTGGTGGGGTTGGCAGGGTCAGTTTAATGGTTGAACTTCCAGAACCAGGAAGACCTTGAAGGTCTTTTCCAACTTTAATGACTCCTTGATACTATGATCAGAACTGGTGCTGTTTTGGACGCAGAATACGAAGTGGAATCCTGTGTGGAGTCTATGCATAGGCCCTTCTCTCTGGCCTACCAAATCACATCCATGTGGTTTTGTTTATCCAACAGAAGTCATTATCTTCAAATACACCTGCTCAAGTTCTATTCATAACACAGATCCCAAATCATTACTACCCCAAATATAAGCCACTTCACAAGAAAACCTGTGCCCTTTGGTTTTTGGGATAGCAATAAATACTTTTAACCTTCCCTCAGTCTTTTGAGGGAATCAGCTTTCTCAGTTTTTCCCAGTCTCTATGTACTACAAACAATGCTGCTACCAGAGCATGAACAAGATCCTAAAGAAGTCCTTTTGACAGCCATACAGGATTTTGAAGTTTTGGCTTTCAAGCTCAGACCTTGTGTGTCAATAATTTTAAGCCCAGAGTGACATTTTGTGATGGTCTTGCAAACCCTCTGAAAATAAGGATTTTAGGTGAAATCACTGAGAGAATCCAATTCCAGAGATGCAAAGAGCCAGCTGTAATAAATATTCCTTCACAGGCAAGAAAATTATATATAAATTAATCCATCAGACCCTCTGGAGCTGCTGACAGTAAAGCCATTAAAATCATCTTGAGGATAAAGTGTATTCAGGCTGAAACTTCATCTCAGCTCAGTCCTTTAACTCAGACACAGATCCCAACACAAATGAGCCAAGGGATGCCAGAAGCTTGGAGGTCCTGCTCTGCTCCCCCATGGCTGCAAGGGCTCTGTACATCAGCTTGCATCTCTCTAAACCAGTTTTCTTCTTCTGCAAGGTGTTTTTAATCTTCCCTGTTTATAATCTTCCCTGTTTAAATCATGATATATCACTCCTCATTATGTTTATACACAGCACCCAGCGCAGGAACTTGCTGTGTGTGGGGAACTGCAGGATCAGAACTGAAGGCTTTCTTTTTTTTCCCGTTTATCTCATAATTGGTCATTTTTATCCCATCTCTTATGAAAAACAAAAATCAAGCTATATCTTTAGGTATTCAGGAAACATGAGATCCCAGCAGAAGATGCTTGAAGTCAGTCTCCTGATGGTTAGTTAGGAGAAATATTTTCTTTTTTAACATTTTTGTTGCTCCAAGCTCCAATTTATTTAAGTACTAAATCCTCTGGTTAACTTTTAACATATGTTTTCATTCCATTATCTTCGACATCAAATGAGTGAAGTTAAAGGTAATATGCTCTTAAATGCTTCACTGAGTTGTGGTCTTAAATATTGCATAATTACACTTTTCCAAAGACAGATGAATCAATCCCCTAACAAAAATCTACTAATTTTTCACTGAAAAATAACTGATCTCTATCAAGTGAATACTGACCTGAAGAAAAGAGAGCTGGTCAAATGGAAGTAGCTGCTAGGAGTTGTGTGTGGAATTGTGGGAGCTTTATTCCAAATTCACTTACACCAGAAATTGCAGAAGGTTTAAAGTTCTCAGAGTAAAGTTCTCAGGGAACAGTTAAGGATCTGCCATTCTTTCCTCCAAAGCATTTTCATGCAAATGCAACCAGCACAAGCTGCTGTTGTACATAGTGAGGATATTTGCCTGCTTCACTTACCCAGGAGAAGCCCATGGCCTGAAATGTTGTAGAAAATGTTGCTGTCCACACTGAGGTTGGAGATCCCTCTCAGACGAAGGCCTTGGCCAAAGGAGTCCAGCACGCAACACCCACGGATGTAAGAGTCTGGAAGGAAGTGAGTGGTGTGAGCACAAATCCCGCTGCAGATTGAGGGCAGGTATTTTACACCCCTTCCCTAGCCAGGCATGCTGACCTTTCCATCATCCACATCCTGGCCAGTGCTGCCAGGGAGCCCTGACCCTCACTCAGTGATGAAGATGGTACAGGTCCTTTCCAAACCAAACCATTTTATGACACTGTGAGAGGTGCAAATGTACCTTAGGAAGGGAAAATCCATTCAGCACCCTTAAAACATTCTTTGAGCCCACCTAACTTGCCCCTACCACCATCAGTCTTCAGAACACTCACTGCCACTTCCACAGAGATGAATTTGGCATTTAACAGTGACAAAGTCAAAAGAACTTAATATTCCTTAACCTCTGGGTGATAAAATTAGATGTTGGCCCTCAGTCTTCAGAACCCTCACTGCCACTTCCACAGAGATGAATTTGGCATTTAACAGTGACAAAGTCAAAAGAACTTAACATGTTCCTTAACCCCTGGGCGAGAAAATTAAATGTTGGCCTCTGCAAGTAGCCAGCCCTGAGCCATTTTTGGGCTCCCTCACAGTGTTTTAGTGCATTCATTTCCAGAGCTACTCTCTTCTATATCAAAAGAGCAGTGTAGCATAAAAAAATATATTATTTTAGGAAGAAGCAGAGATACAAAGGAAGTGAAGCAGGTGAAACCACTCTGTCACTTGAGTTTAGACTAGAGGTGAGGGGTTTTTTTCACATTTAACCATCCAATTTGCCAACCGACTCAAGAGCCAAGCAGGTTTTGAGGGCGCCTGCCCCAGCTTTGGGCAGGAGAAGGTGGGTATCTCCAGTGCAGGTAACTCACCTGCCATCCAGGTGTTGCCAGTAACAGTCAGGGCACTGTGGTGGTGCCGGAACCTTTGGCCCATGTGGCGGAATTGGACCCCCTCCAGCTGGAGCCGGCTCACCTGACCCTGGAAGGCCTCCACAACCAGCAGGGCTCCCAGGTCCCGAGAGCCCAGCTGCCTCTCACTTCTCCTGTACAAACACCCAGAGCGACCTAGGACACAACCCAGGGACAGCTGTGAGGGGCACCTTCTCCGTGGGGTGGGGTGGGATGTGCAGGGGGAGATCCTCTGGCCTACATTAGGACCAAATCACATCCATCTACTTGTTTTTATCCAGCAGAAGTCATTATCTTCAAATACACCCACTCAAGTTTCTATTCATAATACAGATCCCTTCCCAAATCATTACTACCCCAAATATAAGCCACTTCACAAGAAAACCTGTGCCCTTTGTTTTTCAGGATAGCAATAAATACTTTTAGCCTTCCCTCAATATTTTGAGGGAATCAGCTTTCTCAATTTTTTCCAGTCTCTATGTACTACAAACAATGCTGCTACCAGAGCATGAACAAGATCCTAGAGCAGTCCTTTTCACAGCCATACAAGATTTTGAGGTTTTGGCTTTCAAGCTCAGACCTTATGTGTCAATAATTTTGTAGCCCAGAGTGACATTTTGTGATGGTCTTGCAAACCCTCTGAAAATAAGGATTTTAGGTGTTGCCAGTAACAGTCAGGGCACTGTGGTGGTGCCGGAACCTTTGGCCCACGTGGTGGAATTGGACCCCCTCCAGCTGGAGCCGGCTCGCCTGGCTCTGGAAAGCCTCCACAACCAGCACGGCTCCCAGGTCCCGAGAGCCCAGCTGCCTCTCACTTCTGCTGTACAAACACCCAGAGCAACCTAGGACACAACCCAGGGACAGCTGTGAGGGGCACCTTCTCCGTGGGGTGGGGTGGGATGTGCAGGGGGAGATCCTCTGGCCTACATTAGGACCAAATCACATCCATCTACTTGTTTTTATCCAGCAGAAGTCATTATCTTCAAATACACCCACTCAAGTTTCTATTCATAATACAGATCCCTTCCCAAATCATTACTACCCCAAATATAAGCCACTTCACAAGAAAACCTGTGCCCTTTGTTTTTCAGGATAGCAATAAATACTTTTAGCCTTCCCTCAATATTTTGAGGGAATCAGCTTTCTCAATTTTTTCCAGTCTCTATGTACTACAAACAATGCTGCTACCAGAGCATGAACAAGATCCTAGAGCAGTCCTTTTCACAGCCATACAAGATTTTGAGGTTTTGGCTTTCAAGCTCAGACCTTATGTGTCAATAATTTTGTAGCCCAGAGTGACATTTTGTGATGGTCTTGCAAACCCTCTGAAAATAAGGATTTTAGGTGTTGCCAGTAACAGTCAGGGCACTGTGGTGGTGCCGGAACCTTTGGCCCATGTGGCGGAATTGGACCCCCTCCAGCTGGAGCCGGCTCGCCTGGCTCTGGAAAGCCTCCACAACCAGCACGGCTCCCAGGTCCCGAGAGCCCAGCTGCCTCTCACTTCTCCTGTACAAACACCCAGAGCGACCTAGGACACAACCCAGGGACAGCTGTGAGGGGCACCTTCTCCGTGGGGAGGGATGTGCAGGGAGGGACCCTCCCGGGAGGGACCCTCCCCACTGACCCAGTGAGACTCCAGCTCCAGCAGGGATCTGAAACATGGACCCAAAGGCAACACAGGCAAACATTTTTTGTGTCCTTCAAAATAGGCGTGGTTCTTTCCCTAAAAGACTGGATATTTTGGAGGGAAATGCATCAAAACAAGCTGGAAGCTGTAGTTTTATGTCTTGGACAGCTCCTTGGAGTTAATTTTATATAATTTTATGCAGGAGGAATAGAGATTTGACATTGATTTCCCTCAGGTGAGGTTTTGGAAAAGGAGATTGGGCATGGATGTATGGAAGTAAACTGAAGTAAGGGGTTTTTTTTGGTTTTTTTTTGTTTGTTTGTTTGTTTTTTAACTCTGCTTTCCTGACTCTCTCTGCAGATGGATGTTACTACCCACAGCTTTAAGACAAGAATAAAGATTAGGGACAAATTCTTCCTTGTGAGGGTGATGAGGATCTGGCACAGGTTGCCCAGAGAAGCTGTGGCTACCTCTGTATCCCTGTAAGTGTCCAAGGCCAGGTTGGACAGAGCTTGGAACAACCTGGGATAGTGGAAGGTGTCCCTGCCCATAGCAGAAGGGTGGAATGAGATAATCTTTAACTTCCTTTCCAACCCAACCATTCTTGGATTCCATGATATGACAAAAAATTAAATTGTTGGGCTGGGTAAAATTCCTGAAAGACTCTTCCATGGGTGTGAGATATTTTGGTATGAGATTCAGACTATGAATGTTTTACTTGGGCTTGTTCAGTGGAAGAGCAGAGGGGATCTCAAATTCCAGCACTGCCTGCTGATGCCCAGTAATGCTTATTTTTCTTTAAAAGAAGATAAATTAACCACAAAAAACACTGCTCACTCCTCTTCTGGTGACTCCTCTGAGAAATCCTCCTGTCCTTTAACTCAAATAAAAACCTCAAACGGTTAGTGCATTTCAGAGTCTATATTTATGAGTTCCACACAAAATGGACCATAAATCCATGAGTAATATAAGCAGCTGGCTGCTGGTTATCAAATGAAGTCTTGTGTCACAGTCTGAAAGCCCAAGGCACTTTTTTTTTAAAGGAAACCTTACACCTGGGTTGCCAGATAACCTAACTCTCCTCACATTATAATCACTGTGTCTGATTCTGCTACTTGAATAGATGGTGTAAATCAGGAATCCACTGTCAAACTCCATGGCATTTCATACAGGTAAAACTAAAGGAGAACTGAGATATTTAACATTTTTTCGCCAGTGATACTTTATGCATCACCTATTAATTTTTTCCTTGGCAACTCTAAGCACTAAACAACATCTCAATATTTTACGCTAAAGAGTACAAACAGCATTGGGCTGTTTTGTTTTTCCTCCTTCTTAAAGTGACTAAATAGTAAACACAATTAAAAATTTAATATATTATGTACACTGAAACGTGTTTTCAGAAGATACTTTCTTTTCTACACCCTTAGGCTCAGGCAAAACTAAAGGGTCTTTCCCAAGATGGCTTGAAACAACACTGTGAAAATAATACATCTGAGATATTACAATGAAGTGCAGTTCAACTCCCAAGACTTCACACTTCAATGTCAAACAATGTTTGGAAAGACAAACTCCCTTTCCTGGCATTGGAATTATCTCAAAGTTATCCTAGGAAGAAAGAGTTCTAATACACAGTGAGGCTGCCACAATGGGATTTCAATGGAGCAGTTTTCCTCCCCAGTATATTTCTGTGAGAAAAGACCTCCTCACCTGCATTTGCACACTGCCTGAGGTGGGACATCCTCTCCAGTGTGACATTTCCTTGAACAACAACCCTTCTGCTGATCAGTGCCACCACAGCACTCAAAGGCAGACCTTGGCCATTGCCCCATCCCTCTCCAACACTGTGGGTGTACCTAACAAAAGACAAAAAATATCATCTACACCTGCCAGATGGAGAGAATAACGTTTATGATTTCTTGTTATTTATGTTTATGACCATAACCTCCCAAATTCTGAGCTGGTTTCAGTCCTTTTCTCAATAGGGACAGTGGCACAATCAGTGCTAGATAGGCTTTTCCTTGTCTGATGTTTGCTTTCATCTTTTTTTTCACAAGCTCTCAACCCTTCCTTACATTATGTATATAATATTACATTGTGTTGTGTTATTAGGAAAAGGCTTTTCATCCAGAGGGTGGTTGGGCACTGGAACAGGCCCCTCAGGGAAGTGGTTACAGCCCCAAGGCTGACAGAGCTCAAAAAAACATTTGGATGACACTTCCAGGCACATGGTGGAGATTTTGGAATTTCCCTGTGCAGGGCCAAGAACTGAATTCAATGATTCTTGTGGGTCCCTTCCAATTTAGGATGTTCTGTGATTCTACAAGATTTACAACAATATATTTCAGCATTTGAATTCTCTTCCCAAAACAGGTTTGGGTGAAAACCATCAGGACTTATTTCCTCAAACCCAAATTATTTCTGAAAATAATAACTTAAATCTTCCTGGGATTGGAGTTAGGTTGCCTCTAGATAGATAATGTAAGAAGTGCAGTTTTCAGTCTGTCCAAGATCTCCATGCACAATAGATGAAGAAAGTGTAGGACAGTGAAATTAACACTCACTGGAAATATAGAAACATATTTCCATAGTGAAAAAATTCACTTTGAGTGTATTACTTAAGAAAATCAGTCAAGAACAGAGGATTTTTTTTTTACACAAGTCAAACATTTCTTGTGAAAAATATTTACTTTCTCAAGGAATTGAATATGCAGGAAATTTCGTTGTCATTCCTATACTGACACCACTGGACTTTTTTGGCCATCAATGTTTTCTCCTTCAAAGGTTTTCTGAGTTCAAGGGGATGATACAGAATTTAAACATAGAATTTAAACATTCAGGATTGAAGGTCCACTACCTTTAGGGGGAGTGAGGAAGTGAAATATCACCGGCCACCTTTATTAAAGGGATTTATATAGTTATTATGTCCCACAGGGAACAGCAAATCCTGACTTTGATCAAATTTTCTCTTTGTTTAGCTCTGCTATAAAAATCTCCTGAAAGGATACCTGAGTGGTGATCTAAGGTGCAGCTCCGTGTTGTTCACAGACTGGATAACAGCCACTTCCTCCTGCTGCTCTGCATCTCCAAAGCCTGAACTTCCCACCAGGATTTCATCACCAGGTTGCCAATCAACAGGCTCCTGGAGCACCAATCGTGTGTCACTGGCATTAGCTGATGATTTCAAGTGTGTGAAAACTACTTTGGGCATCCAGCCTGAAAATAACAAGGAAAAAAAAGTTAAAAAGCAATCCAATCAACTTAAAAATAAAAAAAAAAAAAAACAAAAAGGAGTAGCATTCTCCTGGTTAAAGGCTGGATTGGACTGGGCTCAGAGCAACCTGGTCTAATGGGAGGTGTCCCTGTCAATCACAGGGGGCTGCAATGTGATGGTCTTTAAGGTTCCTTCCAACAAAAAACATTCAATAATTCAATGATTCTATGAAATCTGTCTGTAACAAGCCCCAGCAATGAAAAGTCTTGCACTATAACCCTCCTTTCTTCACTTAATGAAGTTTGCTTTAACTTTTGACATTTCCCCCTCAGGCTTTGGAAAAGATTGGTCCAGTGAGGTCCAACACACTGAACACCATCAGGGGAGAGTGTGTGCCTCACATATCCACCTTTACAGTACTTTTCTTCCCTCCCTTGCAATAGATCATCATTTACCTTTAGCCCACAGCAAGTTACTGTCCTCCTTGGTTGTACTGCAGGAAAGTAATAATAGCAGAAATCACTAAGTGTAGAGGTTGCATCCAATAAATCATTTTCAAATTATTTTAAGCAAACTTCTCTGCCCATATCCTATTTCACTTTCTTATTCCTTATACTCCAATGTCTTCATTACTTATATAATAGTGTCTCAACTTTTTCCTTAATGAAGATGGAAATAAGAAGTAGCACCTCCAAGCCAATAAATTCACAACAGAATCGCAGAAGAATAAAATCCTTATACTCTTTTATCTTGAAGTATATGTGAGTACCTGCTCTGTGTGGCAATGATGGCATCTAAACCTGAGATACTTCTGTATTACTACATTTTCTTAAATCAAACTTGAAATTTCCCAACTTCCAGCTAAGAAAATCTCCCAGACATCCTTCATTTAAGGTATTTCAAATTCTTTTGGAAGGCATCAAACATCTCCTGCTGTTCAGCTCAGTCCTGTGAGGTGCATCTGGCTTTCTATGTCCTATTCTGGGCTCCTCGGGTCAAGAGAGACATGGAACTCTTGGAGTGGGTCCAGTGGAGGGTTATGAAGATGATGAAGATGAGGGAGGGCCTGGAGCATCTCCCTGAGGAGGAAGGGCTGAGGGAGCTGGGGCTGCTCAGCTTGGAGAGGAGACACAGCTGAGAGGGGCCCTCAGCCCTGGGTGTCCCTGTGTGCAGGGAGGGCTCCGAGCAGGGCCCAGGCTCTGCTCCAGGGCCCAGCGATGGCACCGGAGGAACAGGCAGGAGCTGATCCCAGTGAGTTCCACCTGGACACGAGGAAGAACTTTCCTGTGCAGTGACAGAGCACTGAACAGATTGTCCAGAGAGGGTCTGGAGTCTCTCTCACTGGAGATATTCCAGAACTGTCTGGACACAATCCTGTGCCCTGTGCTCTGGGATGGCCCTGCTGGAGCAGGGATTTGGGACCAGATGAGCCACTGTGGTCCCATCTGATCTGACCCATCCTGGGATTCTGTGAAACCAATGCAGAAACTGAAATGCAGCAGGACACATAGGACACTGTAGGTGCCAATAGAACCAGACTGAAATGACTGTAGTATCCCCCAGAACATGTGGACCCTGCATCCTCAGTACAAACACCATTCACCCTACAGCTCTGCTTCTATAGGGCCACACTGTTTTCTAATGCTGACAAAAACAAAACCCACCTTCCACCATTCACAGGCACTGACATCAAAGACCTCATCCTCAACACAGCTCAAAAATCCCCTCTTAATACCATGCTATGTACCAGCAGCACTCTCTTCATTTTTATTCATTTACCTTCTTCCACTGAGCGACTCTCGTGAATTTTTAAGGCTGGCATAAAAGCCAACAACTGGCAACAGCCATCTGCACGTGGAGCACTGCACTTTTCTCTCCAGCTCTGGACATTTTGTTTCTGGTGTTGATTTGTGTGCCTGTGTTAATGTGTGTTCTCATGCATCTGTGTCCAGACACACAAGTGACCCCTGTGGAGTTCATCTGTCACACACACTCTACAGCAGCACTGCTGGGCAACAAGTCCTGTCACTGAGGAGTGGGAAACACCATTCTGCATTCAAAACATGCTCCAATGGAAAAGGCTTTTTTCAGGCTTTTTTCCACTTTTGAGCTCTGACTCAAAAATTTTTACCGAAAGTGTTCTCAATTTTTTGGGATTTTTTTTTCTTCTAAAAGAATACTCAAGGCATCCAGACATTCCTCATTTCCTTTATTTCCTTTTTCTTGTTTTCACCTCTTACTGTGTTCAGCTACCTGTCTCCCATGCCACATGTTGCACCTTTTTTCCTGATGATCTAGGTGGGGTGGGATATTTCTCTGATTGTTCAAAATCTACTTCCATTTTCCAATAAATTCAGTATATTTTTGTTAGGGAAAACCAAACCAACCAAACAAACAAGTCTGGTAGATTCCCCTTTCATAGAATCATAAAACCATTAAGATTAAAAAATACCTGTGAGGCCATCAAGTCCAGCCATTAACCCAACCCTTTCATGTCTGCCACCAAACCATGTCCCTAAGCACCACATTTATCCATTTCCTTGCTTCCCATTTGTATTCCCACATACAACACCTCCAGGTCAGAATCTCCTCTACTTCCAGCAGCACAAGTGACACACAGGATATGATCAGTGACACCTTTCTGGTGTCAATGAGGGACCAAAACTGAGGCTTCTTTGCCCTAATTATAATATATTCCCCTTGAAAACAAACTCTATTTTGAATAGAACATGCAAAGTTCGTAAAACAACCTTCAGTGCCTGGGTTTGGGCTATGCAACAGGTAAATAAATTACCTGTTTGAGGAGACAATGTTTAAAAGAACAACAGCTGTGGTGTATTTGAATTATGTCTTCCCCCAAAATGTACTGCAAGCAGAAACACTCCAAATGCTGAAAAATAGATGAATCTGTATAACTCCTTAATTATTGAACTCATTTTTAATAATTAACTAAGAACGAGTTGGGAAAAAAAAACCCATCTTGAGATCTAAAGCAGAAGTGACTTCATGTTAAAGGTACAGGACAGAGCCTTCCAACACAAAAAGCTATTGCAGGCAATACAAGAATTAAACACTTTACTAAATGACTTAACAGAACACCCTTAAATACAGAGCAGAGAAGAATAGCACAGACTAGAAATGCAAGGGATTTGAAAATTAATTCCGAATTAATTAATCACAAATCTTAAGATTGGGAATATCTTGACATCAGGACCCTGGTTATGCTTCCTGTTAGAAGCATAATGTGAAGTTGCAGTCTTGTGTGGATCTGGTAAAATTATTAAGAATGAAACAATTCTGATGTGTACCATGCCATTCTCAAATGGCCTAAATTTAACTTCTTATGGCCCCTCACACAAAACATTTCGTAAATCAGTGTGGGATGCTATGTCACTTACCTAGCTGGTTTCACCCAGTCCTAAGTAGTGATAGGATACCAACAGTTACTGACAGAACAAGGAAAAACTATGAGAGGAGACATTTAAATCAGATATTAGGAAGAAATTCCCAACTCAGAGGGTGGTCAGGCTGGGTGGCTGCCCCTGGATCCTTGGAAGTGTCCAAGGATAGGTTGGATAAGGCTTGGAGCAACCTGGGATAGTGGGAGGTGCCCCTGCCCATGGCAGAGAGTTGTAATTAAATGAGTTTTGAGGTCCTTTCCAACTCACACACCTCCATGATTCTAAGTAACTCAACAGGAGATGTGAATTTGACATTTATGGAAATATCTCCAAGTCACATCAAAACTGAACAAACCAGCAAAATGTGTCAGGGCACACACCTCCAGGGTCACAGGAAAATCTGTCCACAGAATGCAAAACATGCATTGTACTGAGTGTTGTAGGTTTAAACAAATTAGGACATTATTTACAATCCTTTGATTACAAAAGACATGAGCATCATTTCCTCTTCCAGGTGTACAGTGGTTGACTCAAAGGGCACTGAAAACTTTAACTGGGTGTTTGATTTTCATCTCTGGTCATCCAGCTTTGAAAGTTGCAGTTGGAAACACTGAAATAAAGGGGTTTGAAAGGAATTACTACAGGGTAAGGAGAGGCTGCTGCAAATTGATTAGGAAACAAGTCCTGCAGTCAGTGGGGAAAATGAGCTCCTGGGGATCCTACACAATCTGAATCACCTAGCAGAATTTCTCTATCCCACTGCAGGCACAGGAAAGTTATCCCCTCATTCAGACCAGGGGATTGACCCAAAGTGGCTCAAAAAATACCTGAGAGGCAAAGGAGCCTTGGAAACTCCATCTGCCCTCACTGGCGGCTGTCCCTAAAAAGTTACAGGTGTCCTTGGACCTGAAGGGATGCACAGACCTGGGCTCCCTTTAGGGAATCACTGATTCCTCCCTAAGCACAAGTCAAGCTTCTCTGCCAGTCTTCAGCACTCCAGAGCAGAAAGAGAGAGAGGGAGAGGCCAAAAAGCAGTACTACTGATCTCAGCTGAGAAAGGCACCTCCACATCCCACTCCTCATCACAGTGGGAAATTTTGCTTCAGACAAAGCATCTTTAAAGTCTCTATTTGCCAAACCATCTATAAAGAACTCAAGTAATAATTTTACCCATTCTTTGCACATTTAGAAAATATCACCTCTTGCCCACGGCCTTAAAATGTGTTCCAGCTTTCACTAGAGGAGAAACTTGGATTGACACTGATCACCAAAGGAGGTGCCTAATTTTTAATTTATTATTTGTGTTAAACCAAGGCCTACCATGCTGGAGGGGGTGGAACTTGTCTTTATGGTCCTCTCCAATCCAAACCATTCCATGTTTTGGGTTAGGCACTCCACACATGCAGATAGTTAAGGCCAGACCTAATGGGAATCTCTCCTCTGGTCACAGACAAGTCCTACCACAACACTCATAAAGAGCACATGGCTGATTCTTTATGCCATGGAAACATGGCTGAGACCTCCCAAGATAAAAGTATTAAGCTCATTGTACACAAGGCAAGGTGTGGATGAGATGAAAAAGAGTTAAGAGGCTTCTTTGG